ATATATTATACCAGTTTAGAATGTTGAGATTGGTGATGACAAGCATACTGTTCCAGGCCAATGAAGATAAATTGACACATGGCTACCTTAATGATGCAGGAAACCTATTGATGGTTTTCAAGGATCATTGAAGAAAAATCATGATATGCTTCACTGCCTGTGCTTTTTTAAATTGCATTCAGTCTAACTATGAGGGAAGCTGCTGCGTAACTGTGCTTCTGCTGACAGTATGGATCCAGTCAATGAGCTAGGTCACAGGCCTAGTGAGAGCACGTATACTACCCAAACACAATCCGTATGATGATCCGTTCCACAGTGAGCCCAGGCCGTACCATATCACTTAGGATGTCAAAATGGGGCAGATCTGGACCCTATTTTGCATTTCTCTCACTAATGTCTCATGCTATTTTGGAAATAATAGAACTGTTGGAAATAATTACTTATAATTGATTTTAGATTAAATAACAAATGTCACTTAGACTGTTCCTTTAAGCTGGTTAGGCTCGTGGTGTTTGGTTCTGCAGTGCTGCGGCATAATAGCTTATCAGAGAGGCAGAGAGAGAGTGTGTATTGACACAGTAAAAGTGTACCTCTCTTTATAGATTATACATATAGATATATATAATAAATACATATTTATATGTTTTTACCTGGTAAATGCGTGCTTTACTGCTACACTAGTAAGTAGACAAAAATAACAGGAAACAAATATGAGTAACTCTTAAAATATAAAACACATGAGAAATGTATGTGGTATTTGTATGTTAAAAACTAAATATTATGAGGTGTACATATTACCTTGAAATGCTTAGTAGCACAGGCAAAAGAAGCCATAAAATTATTTGATGATCATGAAAAACTTGTCAAAAGTTGGTATAGGTGCAATGTGGATGAGGCCCAAAGACAAAAAGGTTTATAATAAATCCATTCCATTCTTTTTTTTAAGACTGAAAAAAAATATGATTAAAGACGTTACGCCAAGCACTATGAGCACTTCAGTGATTTTAAGTGGTCATTGTGTCTGTAGTCTGTATATGCAGTGTTTCGCTATGAAACGCTGCATATACGGAGATTACTCTCTCTGCTGCCAGAGGTGTGACTCTAGCTTCAGCAAGGTCATTGGGGCGTCCCGGAACTAGAGTTAAATAGTATACAGTATAGAGTTAAATATTTAAATGCACAGAATTGCAATCATTGGCTGAGAGCAGTCAGCTGACACTCAGCCAATGAATGTCTAGCTCTACAGTTTTGCAAAAGTGGGATGCACGTCAGAGCTGTGGAAGAGACCCGCTGCCCGTAAGGTCAACATAAGAGGGCAAATCATAACAAAATGGTTTGCCCCATTGCGACGAAACAAGAACAGGGTGCTCCTAGCATCATAACCACTACAGGGGGCTGCCAGAATTGGAAGACACCAGAGTGATTCAAATCCAAAATTCACAGGTTATTTTACTGCCAGTATTGCTGCCAAAGTCAAAAAAACATTATTAACTTAAAACAAGGAATAACTTGTTTAATAGGATGATATCTGCAGGTTACCAACAAATAAAACTGGTGCATTTGCAAGCTTTTTGATTGCATCATAGATTGAATGTCACGGACTGCCATGTGCATTGATGATGCAAATAGGTGACAATTGTGTTATTATCTATAGACTGTAAGCTCGTTTGCTCGTAAGCTCTTCAACCTATCGTTTCTGTAAGTTTTCTTGTAATTGCCCTATTTATGGTTAAATCCCCACTCTAATAATATTGTAAAGCGCTACGGAATAGGCATGTGCATGGGAAAAATTTTCGGTTCGGTTCGGCATTCCGAAATTCGGGACTTCCGCAATTCAGAACTTCGGCAACTTTGGAACTTCGGCACTTTGGAATTTTGGGACTTCTCTTGCAGCCGCTTAGTAGATAACTCCCTAATTCCCACGCCATTAGGGAGTTATTTACCAAAAGACTAAAAAAATCTAAATTGGTCTTTCAGCCAAATTTACTAATACTAAGTAAAAATTACTTAGTATTAGTAAATTTTGCCCCTACTCACTATACCATGAGTAGGGGCATGTCTATTAAACAGTGAGCAGCCTGTGGCTGCTCACTGTTAAAAAAAAAAAAAAAGGTCCCCCCTCCCGAGCGACGCACGAGTGGGGGCTTTTAAACTAATTGGACCTATTGCCACCCCCACCCCTGAGCGGCGGGTGGGGGCCTTAAAGTAAAATAATGGGGGGGACCTATTGTCCTCCCCCCCAACCATGAGCGGCGGGTGGGGCCCCTAAAGTAAAATAATGGGGGGCGGACCTGTTGTCCTCCACCCTGGCCCCCACCCCTGAGCGGCAGGTGGGGGCCCTAAAGTATAATAAGGGGGGGACCTAATGTCCTCCCCCCTGGCCCCCACCACTGAGCGGTGGGTGGGGGCCCTAAATTATAATAAAGGGGGGGATCTAATGTCCTCCCCCTGGCACCAACCTCTGAGCGGTGGGTGGGTGCCCTAAATACCAATACCAATTAGGTGGGGGACCTAATGTCCTCCCCCCTCTGGCCCCCACCCCTGAGCGGTTCTTTGGAATTTTCCCACGCTGTGTAATTTGACTCATAACACTCTGATTGGTTACTTAATCAACCAATCATAGTGTTATGAGTCAACTTACACAGCGTGGGAATTTTTTAAATTTTTTTTTAACAGTGAGTAGTCACAGGCTGCTCACTGTGTAATAGACATGCCCCCACTTGCAGTATAGCGAGTAGGGGCATAATTTACTAATACTAAGTAATCTTTACGTAGTATTAGTAAATTTGGCTGAAAGACCAATTTAGGTCTTTCAGCCTTTTAGTAGATAGCTCCCTAATACCGTGGGAATTAGGTAGTTATCTACTTATTCATTCCTGTCATTACATTGACTGGCTAAGTAACTTACATTTTATACGAATGTATGTTACTTGATTGTGGTAAGTGTTGCAAATGCTTACAGCCGAATCCTGGCTACGTTTGTATACTTTTTATTTAAAATTGTATACAGTGTAACATTCTTCATTCTTCCACTGGGTAAGTATAACAGTTCTTAGGCAATACTGTGCTTCGACACTTCGGAAATTCGGTAATTTCGGAACTTTGCGACTTCGGCAATTCATCTATTCGGACATTCGGAAGTACCCAAATGTCTGAATTTCCCTAAATTCGTCCAAATTCACATTCGGGCCAAACGAATTGCACATGTCTACTAAGGAATCTGTTGGCGCTATATAAATGGCAATAATAATAATAACATATAAATAATCAGACATCAAAGATACGGCAAAATAAAATGCATAGGGACATTTATCAACATTTTGTTTGAAGTTGTAAATAATGCAATTTTTCACATGAATTCCCATGGGAATCCTCCTCAATTTCAGTTAAAATAAATAACAACCATGATTTAATTAATGTGAGTCTCCCTCAATGTGGGCAACAGCTAGCCAACAAATATAAAAGATTTTTAGCATACCTCCTAACATTTCAAATAGATAGAGACATTTTAATTTTACAGGGCCCCTAGGGGCAGGGCAGTATTGAGAATTGTTAGGTGATTTACCTATAACAATTAATGGAACTAAAATGTAATTTAGAACAAGAACAATGTATCTTATTTACAGATTTCTAAACACATTTATTGCAGTTTAAAGACACATTGATAGAATAGTGATAGAGCTCTGTTAAACACTCTTAGACACATCAACAATACAGAGGTTCTACAAGAGAAAGACAGAGTGATTTAGGCCCACAATAGGGACTGTTCCTCCTAAATAGGGACTCTTGGGAGGTATGTTTTAGATGTAAAAGAATGCAGTCAAAATGAGTTTATTTACATTATGTTGCAGGAGCCAAGGTTAATTCTTCAGAAAATCTGCCATGCTGTTTTAATCAGTAGGGTGGTACAGAATGGGCAAATAAATCCCTTGAGACAATCTCCAATATTTATCATTTTCACAAAGTTTTCTATTGTAGCACGCATTCTTTAGTAAATAACTAATTGTAAAAGAGAGCTGGCACATTTATCTCAACACTTTAAAGGAGTACAACGGATTGGACTTGACCCCTATTTCTAACACGTAATGTATATAAAATGCAAAATAAATAACATTTTTATAACTTTCATCATTGCAGTTCCTCCATTTGTAGCAATCTTTAGAATGTTCATCTCCCCAAAGTTAATTTAACCAGATGAATAAGTGAATGAAAACTCTCAGCCAGCCTTAGTCTTTGCGCTGTCTTAATAGGGATTAAAAGAAACGTAGCTCACTACTTGTCAGCCATTTAATTCATGAAAAAATATGAATGAAACTGCCACAAAGCTAATAGTAACCACACATAAATTCCATCACCCATATAACCACCTCCATTCACAGAATGCAGGCCTACGAGGGCATCTTTCGGGCGATATCTGCCCCGTTCTGCCATGGTTCTTCTGTACCACCATGGGAAGATAAAGTTGCATGTGTATAGTGCGCCTGGACCCTCTATAACTGTGGTCACAATTACAACTTACACATCTGTATTGTTTAGCCACAAATATAGTTATAATAATAAAACTAATAGTAATTATTGTCAGAATTCATGACAAGTAATACATTTTATACAAAAGAAGATCACATTCTTTCACAGATTCCTTTCTGGTATGTGTATACACTACATGCTGACAAAAACAAAAGAAATATTTTGAAATATCCCCAAATCTGAGATTCTTCTAGTTTGTCGTGGAAGTAGAGAAGAAAGCTCTATTTTTTCCAGGCTCTCATACCACCTGTCAGGCTGCGTTGTTTTGTTGTGTAATACTTGTATATGAAGGTCAGGCCATGTTGCAGTGCCGTGTTTGTCACAGGTATGTGAAGGTCACTGTGAGAGCAGGTGGGAGGTTATACAGGTAATATTTCGGCTACAGTGGGTGGTGCTGGCTTGTTACTGCTGGCAGATCCTGTCAACGCCTTGCTTTACCTGCCATGGATTTTTTTTACTAGTTCCTGTACACACACCCCTTACTTATCTGCACTTTGGGAGATTTCTTTTGATAATACACACCTCTATGCCCGAGGATGTGAGAGGTTATTATCTAGATATAATTAAAGAGAAATTGCTTTCTTGCACCGCATTTTAATTGTGATGATAAATTCATTGGAAACTAAGCAATTATCTTGTTTTCCTTTTTTTTTCTTTTTTACAGCCCCCAGATTGGTCCTGTGGAGTGCAGGAGATGTGAGTACTTATTCTGTTGTTGTGGCTATTTATTTATAAAACACTAACATAATGTTGTCCAATAGTTAGCTGCAACATACATAAATAATCATGGCTTGTGAGCTAAATCTCTTAAGAATCAGTGTTTATTCACGCTGTTAACACACTTTGCTCCCTAAAAACCCTATGCCAGTATGTAATCTCCTGCTAACCTATCATTTGCAGTTCTGTACAGTCCTGTCAACATTAAAAAAGTGGGACCTTCCATTGTAATATAAGATTTATATAAAAACACTACAACACATTGCAGTAGTTATGGTGATATTGCTCTTACTGCCCTGGCGCCCTCCTAGAGTAGTCAAACTGCTTAAAGGACCACTATAGGCACCCAGACCACTTCAGTTCAATGAAGTGGTCTGGGTGCCAGGTCCATCTATGGTTAACCTTGCCTGCTGTAAACATAGCAGTTTCAGAGAAACTGCTATGTTTACATTAGGGTTGATCCAGCCTCTAGTGGCTGTCTCATTGACAGCCTCTAGAGGCGCTTCTGCGCTTCTCACTGTGATTTTCACAGTGAGAAGACTCCAGCATCCATAGGAAAGCATTGAGAATGCTTTCCTATGGACTGACTGAATGAACGCGCGCGCATTCAGCCGATGACGTCGGAAAGAGAAGGAGAGTCCCCAGCGCCAAGAGAGCCCGGCACTGGAGAAAGGTAAGATTTTAACCCCTTCCTCCCCCTTCAGTCCGGCGGGAGAGGGTTCATGAGGGTGGGGGGGACCTATTAATACTATAGTGCCAGGAAAACGAGTTTGTTTTCCTGGCACTATAGTGGTTCTTTAAGAATGGATTAAAAAGTAATATACTACTGGGCCCTGTGCAGGTTACCAGTTTGGGGACCGCTCCATTCATTCTTTACATAGGGATGGTTTATGGGGCTAAGCAAATACATGGTTCCAGTGTCCCTGTCTAACCACCTAGGGTCGACTTATGGTTAATCCTGCTCTAATCCAGCTGAGCACGCACTGCCGTCTCTCTGCTGCTAGAAGCCACTGAGGTAAGCTTTGCCATGCAAGGCTGGATGCATGAGATCGCTTAGCTGATGTTTTGCATCCATTAAATCCAGCTGTGCATAGTAGGGTTTAGGGTTTGGCGCTAACTAAAGGTTCCGTGCAGCAACTTGTGGCAGCAGTGAAAGTGGCTGGTATGTTGTTAAACCATTCTTTAATAGTACTTACTCCAGGCGGGCGCCAGCGCCAACGCAGTGTAGCTTGCTCTAGTGGTTGCTTGGAGTGTTACTGTAAAAGCTGATCTGATCCTTAAAGAACCACTATAGGTACCCAGACTACTTCAGCTCAATGAAGTGGTCTGGGTGCCAGGTCCATCTAGTGTTAACCCTGCTGATGTAAACATAGCAGTTTCAGAAACTGCTATGTTTACAATAGGGTTAATTCAGCCTCTAGTGGCTGTCTCACTGACAGGCACTTCCGCACTTCTCACTGGGAAAATCACAGTGAGAAGATGCTGGACGTCCATAGGAAAGCATTGAGTAATGCTTTCTTATGGACTGTTTGAATGCGCGCGCGACTCTTGCCGCGCATGCGCATTCGGAGCTGACGTCGGCAGAGGGAGGAGAGTTCCCCAGTGCCAAGGGAGCCCTTCGCTGGAGAAAGGTAAGTGTTTAAACCATTCAGCCCAGCGGGAGTGGGACCCTGAGGGTGGGGGGGACCTAAAGACCCTATAGTGCCAGCAAAACTAGTTTGTTTTCCTGGCACTATAGTGGTCCTTTAAGGGTTTAAAATGCAATAGTCACAACTGGTTCAGAGCATAGTTAAATTGCTGAACAAAGGTTAAAGGAACACTATAGTGTCAGGAATACAAATGTGTATTCCTGACACTATAGTTCTAACATCTTAGTTTAGGTCCCTGGTCCACTTTACCCCTGGTTAAAAACTGGGGCTTACTCACCTTTTTTCAACACTGCATGGGTGAGTGACGGCTGGCTCCACCCATAACCCACCCCCTTGGCTGAGATCATAAAACTTGATGATCTCAGCAAATCCAATGCTTAACCATAGGAAAGCATTGGGATGCTGCCACACATGTGCGGCATATCGCTGCACCAATTATCATCTCCATGAGGAACGTTCAGTGTCTCCATGCAGAGTGTGATGACTCTGAACGTCAGTGCTGCACAGTTTGGCCATCTGCGTGACTGCCACTGAAGGTGTCTTTAGGCAGCAATGTAAACACTGCCTTTTATAAGCTGTAGCTGTTCTGGTGACTATAGAATACCTTTCACTATTATAAATAATAATCATAATGGGCTTTAAAATTGTTTTTTTACCCAATTCTGCATATTCACAGGAAGGTCTGTTAACATCCACAATTGATTTTGTGGGGGACTGTGGGATCATGGTTCCTGAAATGAAACCACACTGCCAGGTTCTACTGATGGAGGAAAATAGGCTTTGAGTCAGCTATGAAAAATTTCGTCACAGCAGATATAACAGTAGTGTATACTGGGGTCTTAAAACCTGACATTGCCTCTTAGGTTATTTACCGCAATTCTTGGTATTTTTACTGTAATCTCAATGTTTCACAGTGAATGGCAGATTCTCGTGGTATCCATCAGTTTTTTAACAAACATCCCAAAAGATCCAGATCTAGTGGGACAGTCCTGATTCACCATCTGAGTCTTTATCTATTATTCCCAGAAGATGCAGTGTATCTTAAACAAAGTGCCCCCAGGGTCCGACCAATTCTGTTCTTTTCCCATACCTCCCAATGATTCTGTTTCCATACCTCCCAGTGCTTGGAGGTGCGCTGGTACTTGCTAGGCTTCATATCTACATGGTTCACATGAGCGCCAGGCTGGCACGCTCCCTTTTTGTATATGCTTGTCTCTTGTCACCAGTGATGCATATTAAGTCACTTGCACAACCTCTCTCTATCCCAGTATCCCCATCCATCCGCAAAACATACCTCCACATGCTAGGAGTTAGTCTGCAAATAGATATCATTATACTGTAGCCCTCTAAAGATTGTTTTTCATTAACGGTTATAGTTGTAATCCCTTCTTAAACACAGGTGATTTCATGAAGGACATCTAAAATTCCTAAGACATTGTGCTTTTTATGAAAAATAGTAAAATCTTACCTTTATTCCAGTCGGCTGGTGCTGGCTCTGCTCCTGATCTGCCTCCTTGGCTGACATCATCAGAAGAGATGATCTTAGCCAATAACTATGCTTTTCCATAGGAAAGCATTGGATTGCCTGAAATGGTCAATTCTGATTATCTCAACCAAGGAGGTGGGCTGAGGGGCAGAGCCAAACGCCACCCTTGCCAATGATCATCTCTTGTATCAATGAATCTCTATGAGTAAAGTTTAGTGTCTACATACAGAGGGTGGAGACACTGAATGTCAGTGTGCAGCACTGCTCCAGGAAGCACCTCTAGTAGAACCTTTAGGCTTAACTGTTAACATTGTCTTTTCTCTGAAAATGCAGTGTTTACTGCAAATGCCTGCAGGTGCATGCTATATTCACCAGAACAATTACATTAAGGTGTAGTTGTTCTGGTGACTATAGTGTCACTTTAAGCTACATGATTGTCATGGTTAAACAGTATCTACAGAATATATACATTTTAAATGATTAAAACTTTGAAGGGTAATTGGGACGTGCCTTAGGAAAATTCTCAGGCATGCATATAATAGGTTACTTAACAAGTTAAGTAAATGGAAAAGTGGCCTTACTGGTAAATCTTAGTGTTATATGCATGCATGATTTGGCAGCTCAATTGTTTTCTGAAGATTTTTTAAAATACCATATTTAACCCTGTCACTAGAAAATTGTATATACATATTTTGACCTTTATGGAAAACAAAACAAATTTCAGTTTATAAAGGCTTTCATTTTTTTTTAATTTGGCCCACATTTGAAGTTCAGGGTGGTGACAAAGATATCTCCCTGATGATATTTATTTTGGATTATACATGGCAGCAAGGGGACATGGTTCTCTTCCTTCTCCCCACACAGTAAGTACGTTTGAATTAGAAACGTTGTTCATTCGTTATCACAATCAGTTAGTGGGGTATTTTAAGATGTCCATTAGATGGTGTTATAGCATCTTGCAAATCCCTGTACAATTCAATAATTTAGTAGTGCCCACATACATAACATGTTTATATATTCTGTTGCCATTTTTATAAAGCTGCATTTTTACAAAAGGCACCCAGTTTTTTGTTTTTTTCAATTCGTTATTTTTGACTGACAGAATAGTACATAAATCACAGTGTACAAAAAAAGTTCAATATAGCAATAAACAGTAACAGGAACATTAGTGCAAATTTCGAGAATCAACATCGTAGCAAACAAAGTGTTAATTTGGCACCCAGTTTTAAAGAGAAACCGTAGGCACTTTAACAACTTTATTTTTATTGAAGTTGTTATAGTGCCTGCAGTCCTGCCCCCCCACCCCCTGCTATTCTACCACCCAAAACACTCTAGTTCACTAGCTAGAGGACTTGGAAGCACAGCTTCAAGCCACATCTGCAATCCCTCTGGGTATGAGAGCTGGGAATCTTAATTGCCGGTTCTCATACCGTAACATACTGTGACGTCACCCGCCATGTAGAGTGCTGTTGCAGTCGGCCATAAAGAAATTAGCTGTGCATCTTATATTCAAATACATCATACTGTAAATTTTTTTAAATGTTTACCATTTGCAATCTCCACACCATTTATTGCTGTCAGACAGACAGCCACTAGGCGTTTGGACTAAAATAGATTAAATTATTGCATCTATTTAACATCTGATGGTAGCATGCAAAGGAGTATGTTCAATGCTTCTCTAGGAGCACTGAACAAAAGTAATCCGTCTTGATCAATTTTCAGGAGGGGAGGTTCTTACTCTTGTGGCACTAGAATAGGGATACGTTTTATGACTTTGTGTTTTTTTTCTTAAATATAGTATTCTAAAAAATAAGGAACACCTATAATTAAATATAAGGTAACTCTCGGTGGACATTTCAGGGATTGTGCATATATGTAATTGTTGGTATTGATTTTGCTATGTTATATTGTAGTTATAATGTTTATTTGTCCTTTAACAGGTCTAATTGAATCATAAGTTAATGTTGCTTGCTCATGTCATAAAGTCGGGGTGGTGTTTGTAGTGTTTGTTCTTATCATACGACATTGGTTATAAAATACTATCAGGGCTATTCACTAAAATGAGAATTTAAAGTAAACTAAAAATTCAAGGTCAAATAATTGACCTGGAAACATTCAAGACAGATATGAATACACTTTGAATTCGCACTTTTGTGAATAACCCTGTATATCACTGCCATGGATGTCTTCTCTCCTCTCGACACATTCTAATACCTTGTCTCTTAGTTCTTTACATAACTATATGTTCAATATAAATATATATATATATATATATATATATATATACAATCTTCATTTATTGACCACGAATGACTTGACACACTTTTTTTGTACGTAGAACATATGATTGTGTCTTCCAGATAAAAAAATATTATACATTCATGAGAGCTTCCAGCTGTGATATTGAGAGATAGGAGCAACGTACATATACAATATACAAAGTATCTGCTGTTTACAAGCCGCTAATGAGGGTCCCTATTCACAAAGTGCTTCCCTTGCCAATTAAAATTTCTCATAAGACCTTCCATTAGGTCGGTGGTTTGCTGTTTGAATCCCCATTAAAACAGGAATGCATTTTTGATAAATCACTCTGGTGTTTTAATGTGGATATATAACCTTGAGATAAGTGACTTGTCTTCCATTAACATGATCCTATGACATCACTCTCACTCTCGAAGCTTTATATCTAGAGCAGCATTAGTGCGATATCTGTCTCTGTCACTAATGCACGGACGTCAGTAATGCAATGGTTGTGACATATGGTGCAATCTTCCCATTACAGAGAAGTCTCCATGAATTCCCCCCTTGCCGTGTGCCGTGACCTTTGTTTAACATGACCCTCATTACAAGTATTGATTGTGTTAATCTACCTTGTGTTTTCTGGCTCACGATCTTTGCGCAGTTAAAGCAGAGAAAACTTGCTTCCCAGCAAAATGACTTTGTATTTTATCTTTTTGTGAACTGAGTACTACCAACTCATCTAATGTTGTGTATGGATTTCTGGCAAAGGTTTTATAGTATTGTCTGACGTTCACTCAAAATCCGACATCAAATAGGTCAGCATTTACAATCCATTCTTTCTCTTAAAAATACATGAATCACTAAATTGGTTTCTTAGTATTTAACTCAAATACAACAGCCTCTCCCATCTACAATTGACAAATCAGGTTTTTTTTTATTTTCACCTGCACATCTGACTTCTCTTTCCTGACTCATATGGAATGAAAAGTGTCACCTAGCAGTATAAAATTAATTTATTGCTGCAGGGAAATTAATTAATTAGTGACAGCCTATTCTATTGAATTGCCTATGTGATTAACTGATCTTCCTCCAGCAATAGATTCATTCTGCACACAGAAAAAAACAAGTCAAATGGCCGGTTTGGCAGCCCTAGACCCATCTTTGTTTTTCCACAATTTTTCCTGTGCCATCATTTGGCTTTCGGTTTAAAGGAATACTGTCAACATTTTTTAATCTTTATGAAAAATACAAAATTATATGCAATTTTGCCTCTCTTTGTTTATGTTGTAATGTGTACATATATGTAGATGCCTCTTTTTAATGCATCTACTGGTTTATCCTTGTTTCACAGGGGCAGCCATCTTTAAAGGGACATTCCAAGCACCATAGTTATAGTTGTTTTGCGGTCTGCTGGCTGCCACTTCCCACCTCCACTAACTCAATAAGAGATACAATTAAAATATCATGTGTGGAAAAGCAGTGTTTAGAAACGATTTGAAACTTCCATTTGAAAACTATGTGCTTATAGCTGCTACCATTCTGTATGTGTAACGCTCCAAAAAAACACACAAACACGTAAAATATCAATAAACAGTACAAAGCGCTGTGTAACCTTTAAACTGTAATACTCATGGGTATTGCACTTTACAGGTTATACAGCAACAGGAGAGATTGAAGCTCCTGCATAGGAGATTTCGTTACCTCTCCTGAGCTAAGCCCTGGAGTGCAGGGCTAACTTATGGGCTAAGAATGTCAGATAAATGCTTTCCGTCAATGAACCGCCAGGCTTAGCTCATACAGAGGGCTTCCAGCTCTCTGTCAGCTATAGTGGAGGCAGGGAGCAGAGCTTAGCAGATTCCAGGTGACAAGTCAGACCATGCTTTGCCTAATGGGGTGGGGTAGAGCGCAGGGCCAGATTTGCCATAAGGCCACCGAGGCCATGGTCCTAGGGCGGCAGGCAAGCAAGGGGCTACATGACCGCTGTGAAGATGAAAGATCTCCTTTACTAGCAAGACGATTCTGCTGTCGTGGGGCCAAGGAAGCCGGTATGGCTGACGCTCAAATTGTATCACAGTGTTTCCGCATGTTACAGCGGCAACACTTTGATACAATCCCCTGGCGCCGTCTGGAAGGAGCTGTTTGCACCCACCAAACTATCAGGGACCAGATTCCCCCTCCCTGGCCTAGGTAAGCAACAGGGAGAGGGAAACTTTTTTTAAGCAGCTCCTCAGCTCCATGTGCCCCACAGTACAATCCCAGTCCTTTAATTACAGGCCCCCATCCTTCCGGTAGAGCCACTATCTCCCCTCCCCCCACACACTATAGTCCCTTCCCCCTACAACAGCAGCTATCCTCCCACTAGAGCTCCTATTCTCCCACTATAGCCGCTATCACCCCACCAAAGGCCCTATCTCCCCTTCTAAACCCTTATCTCCCCATTACAGCAACTATCCCCTCACTACTGGCTCTATTCCCCTACTATAGCTCCTATCCCCTCACCACAGCTCCTACCCTCCCACCACAGCCATTAAAGGGATACTATAGTGCCAGGAAAACAAAGTCGTTTTCCTGACACTATAGGTTTAATAGGTCCCCCCTCTCTCACGCCCCCTCTTCAGCTACTTACCTGATTTCAGCCCCGATATCCCTCGGCGCTGGGTCAGGCTCCGCCCACCCTCTTCCCCCTCCGCAATGGCCCCATGCGCGCATTAGACCTCCCCATACGAAATCATTATTTAATGCTTTCCTTGGGGGGAAATCTGACGTTGGAGGTCCTCGTGCAGAGCTTGAGGACGTCCAGAGTCAGATAACAGACCATTTGGGGTCCATTTGGATTCCAGAAGCGTCCCCCAGTGGTTGTTTGGTAGACAGCCACTGAGGGCAGACTTAGAGCTGCAATGTAAACATTGCAGCACTAAGTGCAATCGGGACACAGCACCCAGACAACTTCAATTAGCTGAAGTGGTCTGGGTGTTTACAGTGTCCCCTTAACCTCCACAACAGCCTGGGAGGGCACCAGGACAATACGATCAGCATAACCATTACAGCATAGTGGTCATGATGCTTGGAGTGTTCCTTTAAGTCATCTTGGGATAGAAGCACAGTTTATCCTGCTGCAGAGCATGAGAAAAAAAAGACTGAAAACTGCTCTGAGCACATTTTTTACATTCCGGGTGCTTAAACAGGAGGTCAGGATTCATGATCACACACTAGCTAATTACTGTATGGCCTTTCTAACCAAAGAAAACTTAAAGATGGCTGCCCACACAGAACAAGGTTAAGCAGGAAAATTCACTAAAAAGATGTGTTTACATATTTGTATGCATAATAAAATAATACATTGAGAAGCTTATATATATATATATTTCATTTTTTTTTCGTCAGTTACCACTAAGGTATTTTGCTTATTATTAAAAACGTAAATTGAACCGGGCCTACATATAACGAATATTTTGCCCCAAAAAATAAGAGCATAAAAAAACAGAAAAGAAACTTCACAGGTTATGGGAGATGAAAAAACCTCTACTTACCCGATCATAGAAGAAACGCCAGGCGAGGAGACACAGGACCCCAGAAAGCAAATCACAAAAGTAAAAAAGCGCCACAACAAGCGCTCATTTATATCCAAGCGTAAGTTTGGATATTGGATAGAAGAAAATAAAAGGAAAGCTTACTTACATGTTTTGGACCACTGGGCTATTAGACATAGAAATGTCTTAGGAACTGGAGGTCCAAAACGCGTAAGGAAGTGTTTCATTTTTGTGGCCAATAAACTTCAGCTTAGATGTTAGTGATTGCTTGCTGTGATGTATTTTCCTTTATTTTATTTTTGTGATATTTTGCTTTATTACATGTCACTGGATGTGGTGGCCGTAAGGGACAGCTTGTGATAAGTATAACTTACCATCCCCCACACACTGCAAAATATGCAAAGACCCCGAAAAGTTATAGATCCGCTTTTACACATGACTCCTAAAAGTCTCAGAATTAATGGGACCTTCCTGAATTTGGGTCTGAATCCATAATTTGGTGGTGTTGTACTTCTGGGGATTACTGAAAAAACTTCCCAATAATTGAGGTGCATCATTAGATGCGTGCTTGAAGTGCTCAAACTGTATCTAGGTGTTCACTCCGTAAAAGAGTGCATTAACAGTGATGTGTGCATGGACTACCCTAATTGCGGGTGAATTGACACTTTGTCAGTAATGGCACATTCGCTACGGAATTTAACGGCGCTATATAAATAATAAAATAATAACAATAATTCTAACTGGTAACTAAAAGATGCTGTTGTTTTTTTTATTTTAAAAAACAACTTTTTTTACGGCATATTTGAATTTGCATGAAGGCAAGGCTTGCAGGCACACACTGGCATTCAATGCAAATTCAAAATATCCCACAATCCGTCTGATGCTCTGCCCATAACTATCTGTGCATACACAGAGAATGGTGGGAAGATGAAGTCGGGAGAGTATGTATGCACAGAGCACCTTAGGACGATTCTGGTTCCAGTTGCCCAAAATGCTTCAGAGGTAGCTGTGTGTTTTTTGCTTACCATCTTCACACCTAATGACAGCATACACTTGAACAATGAAAGAGGACTGTAAAACTACAGAAGCAACTTTTAATAAAGAACGTGTTCTGTGGCTGGCCTGCGTGATGCCTGTTATTCAGTCTTATTTGCCACCTTGCTAGACCACAATCCATATACGCAATTTTCCTGTTGTCTCTGTTTTAAAGTTTGGTAGAATAAAAAAAGTATGTATTTTTAAATAGACATGATCACTTCCTTTGCTGTGCTATAGTTACACATCTCAACTCTTTTTGGAGAACCAGCGTCACCCTCTATAAATATACCCAGTCTATCAGGGACAAACTGTAATTTTACCAGTAGGTGTTTTTTGTTTTGTTTTTGTTTTACTGTGGTCTGCACACCCAACTTGTGTGACTGTACAAATCTGCAAGTAGTTGCTTAAAAGTTTCCAAAAATACCTATTGTATTGGGTTAAGGTTTATGTCCATTTTAACTGCCAACACCTCTGCATTGCGCAAATAGTTCTGTTTGATTCCTTTATTTATTTATTTATTTTTAATATAATCATTTGTTTCAATTTTGATTTACATCATAAGCAACAATGTCAATGCGCGACTAGCGTTTTCTGTCAAATCGGTGGTATCCCAGCTATGATGCTGTAGACGTAAACATGCATCTGTATGTACACATGTCAACATGCCAGGAATGCCCAGTCTCCGTGGTAATATGCAAAGTAAGACACCCCCTGCCCCAACCCCTAAATAAGGCAGGTAAAGTTAGTATAATGAATTTTGCAGGCCTAAAAACATTCATATTTAACAATTGTGTATGTATAAATGTATCTATGTTTGTGCATATTTCTGCGCTCTTTGTAATGTATTGTGTTTGAATCTGTGAGTATAGTGAGTATATGCAACTCTGCATGCGGGGTTAAAGATAATGTTGTGTCCATGGATCCATATGTTACCGCCCGTACCAGTATTTTTCTTTACTTATCTCCACTGCACAAGTGGCAGTGCCTCGTTAAATTATATAAAAGCGATAACTGCATATCTATGCAAGCATATGCAACAAAAATGCCAGTTTCAAGCAAAATAAATCCCCTTTCACAAATTCCCTAAGTATCACCTCTCCACTGTCTAATGGACAGCCAAGGATGCTTACTGCCTCATATGCTTTGAATTGTAGTTCAAAGCAGGAGCAAGTGTTTCCCTTAGAGCAGCATGGTTTCAACCTGTGACTGCCACACCTGCGCCACAAAGGGGCGGGCTGGCCAGGGGGGAAGGGAGGCAACTGCCCCCCAGGCCGCCCTAAATGTTTTGAAAAACGGCCGCTGCAGGGACGATCCTGGGCTAGTGCAACGTGCACAGGCGCCAGGAAGTGGAGTGTGCCACGCGGAGCAGGCTGATGCCCTGTCACAGGGAGCCCAGCAGGTGGCCACCTAAGGGCACCCCCGTAGCAAGGCAGAGTAGGCACCTGCTTGTCCCAGATGGCAGGTGCCTGCTCTGCAGCAACATACTGGCCGGCTGAGGAAGGAGGCAGGCGGCGGCGAGGGAGCGCTGACTGTGCTGATGATCTTCCTGCTCCCTCGCGCGCCCTCTCTGGTGATGCCGGGAGCCAGAATATGACGTCACTAAACAGTGCGAGGGAGCAGAGAGGAGCGGGAAGATCATGAAAGCCACTGGACCTCGGGGAGAGGACCCAGAGGACTCCTAAAATTAGGAGCAACAAGGAATAAAATTAATTTGTGAGTATGTGTGTCTGAAAGTAAGTGTGTCTGTCAGTGAGTGTGTGTCAATAAGTGTGTGTGTGTGTCTGTCAGTGAGTGTGTGTGTCTGGAAGTGAGTGTGTGTGTGTGTGTCTGTCAGTAGGTGTGTGTGTCTGTCAGGGCCGTCTTTCCGCATAGGCATGCTGGGCAGTAGCCTGGGGGCCTCACAGGCATGGAGGCCCCACCACGCTGCCCAGTGTGCCCGGCTAACAGGGGAGATCCCTTGATTTGTATTTCTAACACTATAGTGTTCCTTTAAGTAAGCTAATCGGCCAGTTAATAGCTGCTTCTATAAAACTGCATGACAATTTCATTCATGTTGATTTCAAGAATGCAACCACTCATGACTAAATCGTTTGAGGCCATGTGAGATAAAATGATAAACTTGTGCCTTTGGCGTAATATGTACACGTTTAGGATTTTAGGAAAATTTCTGTGCATTGAAATGTACCTCTTAATATATTTACTTTGTTGTCATACGGTCTGAAATGTTGTCATATTTGCATGAATGGTTTTGGCCTGAAACATACCAAACTAATATTTAGATTCCCTAACTGTGCTTTGTGTAAGCATTCGATAATTATTTTATTGGCATAATGTACCTTATAGTCTCGTGCTTTTAATTGCCACATATTATTCCTTCACTGTTTACACTTATGATTTTTTAAATTTTTTTTATTTGTGGTCGGATAGAGTAGGCCGAGTTATAGTAATGTTGGTGTAAGTCGGTAGTGGTGTGCCGGAACCGACGTTCCGGTAGGCCTGTAAAAGAGGGCCCACCAAGATGAATGGCTTTATAAAGTTTTGGGTTTAGGTTGGGTGGGCTGAACCAGGCAGACTCAGCCCAGAGGAAGGGGAGGTCTATATGTACAGGCCGGGTAACTACTCCCACAACTACAGGCTTTGCCCACCGGCTCAGCCTTCTCATTTTTTTGTTTAGTTTATATTAGTCAAAAATTTTCCCTCCCACAGTATATGTTTTTCCATTAACCTCCATTAATATCTGTTTGGCCCTTGATCAATAAAAAATATTTGCATCAACACATTATTTCAACTGTGCAATACAATTACAATAATGGTTTATTGGCATTACTAATAAGTATTGCCATTTCCTAAAAGTTCATTTGTACATTTTACATTTTTACATTTTCTTTACCTCATTTGCCAGTCAGAAATGAAAATAAAAGAGGGTTTTATGCACTAAACCAAATATTTTACAGAATTGACATGAGCTGATAAAATTATTACAAAATTGTTAATCTGGAAAAAATCTCAAATGCAGCTATTTTTCTGGCTAAAACTCTGTATTAAAATTGGCGTTTATCTTGTTGTACCTCCACAGTTCCCAGTTAAGAGACTAAAAAAAATTAGGCTTCGATTTAATATTTTTGGATAAACCCCAAAAATATATATTTTTTAAATATAAAAATATCAAACATATTTCATTTAAATTTTTTTTTATCAATATATTAAAAAATATAAAAATTTGAAACTACAAAAATATTTTTCACAATATTAAATCATTAAAAAAAAAAAAAAAGAAGCTTATCCACAAATATTAAATCAAGGACTTAGCGTGTACAAACTGTATGCCCTCTTAATGTTGGGATCTCATTTTTATTTGCATTATTTGGTTGCCATAGATGGTAACACAACAGAGCATAGGAATATAGTATTGTGGACTACTCGCAGGAGTAGGCAACCTTCGGTATTCCAGATTTTGTGGACTACGTTTCCTTTGATGCTTTGCCTGCAAAATGGTACTAGGAACGTTATGGGAGATGTAGTCCACAGCATCTTGAGTGCTGAAGGTTGCCTACCCCTAGCTGTCTGATCACGTCAGTATAAAAGGGTTGCATTTTCCCACCAGTAGTGTCTGTTCTGTATTGTAACATAAAGAGTCATTCTCTAAAGTGTGAGCTGTCTGGATCACAAAGTGAATTTCAAATTATAAACCAACATAGCCTAACTGAAAACACTGTTGACTTTTCAATTCCATTATTAAGTCCTAAAACACAATTCACACTTTAGTGAATAACCTTGTTAGTTCTCTGAGACAGTAATAATGTCATGTCATGTTATATGGTTAATATCATGTTTAGCACAGGTATAAATCGATGGCTACTGTTTGAGCATTTCTTTTAATGTGCATTCTTACTGAATTTTCATGTCTTTCATGTGATTGTAAGGTTTTCTTCCGAATTTTACCTTAAAGGAACACTATAGTGTTAAACTAGCCTGGTGATCAGGCCCCTCTCTGTAGAGTCAAAAGCTGAGTTCCATCGCCGCACCTGGCCCCCCGCTCGCATGGCTGAGATTATATTGATGAACTCCACCAAATCCAAGGCTTTCCCATTGTATCAATGCATCTCTATGGAGAGTGTTCAGAGTCTCTGCTGAACATCAGTGCTGCACCTCTAGTGGCCATCTGAGTGACTGGCACTAGAGATGTTACTAGGCAGAAATGTAAACACTGCCTTTTCTCTGAAAAGGTAGCGTTTACAGTGCTAAGACTTCAGGGACAGGCTATAAACACTAGAACCACTATATTAAGCTGTAATGGTTTTAGTGACTGTATTGTCACTTTAATGTGAGAATGTTGTTGTTTTTTTTCTCATCCTCAGCATTTTCCAACATCTGTCCCTCTGTCCCCGCCCTAAATTTTATTTATGTTTCCAGGGGACAGATTACTTAGCCTCAGGAAAATTTACATTATTTACTCAATTGCCCAACTGGGTATACTTGATTTTTCAAAGTGCAGTTGCAGCCAAAATACAAATTGCTCTGGTAATGACAGTGCTAGCTTTAGATGTAATAGACTCGGAACACCTGTTTAATGATCACTGTAAATACCTAATTACTATATATATGTTTTAATAGTATGAGTAATTTGTAGATATACCTTAATGTGATTGAGTGTGCTTCTCAAACCAGTAGAAGCAGAGGATACAACATACTATATAAACAATGGAATACTGGAAGAAATATATATATAATAAAACGTAACCTTTAATAAAAGTATAAATCCCTAAAAGGTCTCATAAGACAAAAAGACCCACTACAACATACACAACATACACACAACAAAAATTAAAAATGACATAGGCTGGTCCATACTGCACCAAAAATGGTAAAAGCCATTTCATTTAATCTGTCTTAGTGGCTTTTACCATTTTTGGTGCAGTATGGACCAGCCTCTGTCATTTTTTATTTTTGTTGTGTGTATGTGCACATAGTACTATTTGTTTTGTTTTGTAGTGGGTCTTTTTGTCTTATGAGACCTCTTAGGGATTTATACTTTTATTAAAAGTTAAGTTTTATTATATATATATATATATATATATATATATATATGTAGAAAGGCCATTAGGCCTGAATTTGTGGGAGGAGTAAGTCCCCTACTTAAGCTCCCAGCCCCTACTCACCGCTGCCGCTCAGCTGATTGTCCAGCACTTCCGGTCCAGCTTCCCGCCAGAACTGTACCTGTTTCCAGCAGCCAGACGCCCTGTGCAAATCCTCCGTCCGTCCGAGGCCCCTTCCACTCCGTTTCTCTCCGGTCGAGGTACCCGACTTCCGGTCACGAGACCGGCGCGTTCACGTAAGCAAGGCGGGGGAATTAGCGTTCGCTTTTTCCCCGCCGTTCGGGCCTAAAAACGTAGGGGTAGGCTCCCTCCTTTTCGCATTTTCACGAATACACGCTGTTCGTTAATATCTCCATTCGCGCCAAAAAACGCACGAACGTTCGGCTCATTTCGCTATCATTTAATGCATTTTCGTACGGAAACAACCGAATAAATATTCATGTTTAAGCTCATTATTATCTGCATTCACTTTTCCGTTCGGTTATTTCAGCACCAACCTACTCGTATGGTTAAATTCACGAACACCATCTTACTAATTTACATTCGGTTATTTCTATTCTTTTAAGCTAAGATTGCATAAGTTCTAATCACAGTCCTACTATTATTTATTCCTTCATATCAGTTTGCGGTTACATTATATGGTTAACTACCAGCCCTGTGTTTTCCTACCTTGTTAAACCATTTAAAGTATTTTTTCTGTAATATACATAATGTTCATCACGGCTCATAACTTCATACGTGTCTAAATTCAAGCTATACCAATCTTTCCTAATAACACTCAGATAAGTCTTTTTAAACACTATTTACAAGTTATACCCTTTACACATAATCCGTACTATTCCTTGCACATAAATCACGCTGTCACATTTTTCGGCTTTTACAGATTGCATCGGTCTCTTGCTTTTCTGCATTAAAGTTGTTATTCCAAGGTCCTTTTATTACAGGAACAGGTATGGTTTATTATCACCTTGAGTTATCAGGTTTTATCAATTATCTTCACATCTATTGCTAACTATGGAATTTCTCTCGGTTAAACCCTTAGATCCTGTATTAATCTAAGATTCCACCGTTTCCACGCAGTTAACCTGCCACGATTAAAACAATCTCTGTACTTTAATCAAAGGTATAGTTCACTCTCTTTTCAATACTAGACCTCACGCGGTCTCAACTCCATTACTACCTTCCCTCAGGCTTACGCCCAGGATACGTTATCTCTTTACTACTTGTCTACACAGACTTTCGGTCATACGGCCACCAGGCTCAAGAAGACACCAAATCCTGACACGGTACACAGCCATACCTTCAGGTACTTACATCCTTACTCAAGTACGTCCATTCGCTACCCCAAGGCCTCATTCTGCCTTCTCAATCATATCCAAAATCATCCCATTCCTACACCTAAACCTCCCAGATCCCTCAATGCAGGATCTCACGTCGTGCCCCTAACAAACCTTCTCCCTATACTATTCATACGACATCACGATACGTATAAACACATCAACATCTGTCTTAAACCCCCAGGATTCTTCCTCAAAGACAACATTAAGACAAGACTCTCTACACTTACCAGGAGGCTCCAGATACCATTTGCGACCAGTCAAGGTTAGTATCCACACACCATTCCAGTCCTCTAACTTTACCCTTTAGCATACTATCGAACTGGCTATACGGCACAGGCTAATGCCTTAGCCCACCTTATCAGGAAATCTGATCCCGCGAGGCCTACCACCCCCACCCCACCTCAACACGGAGGTACGGCCCCACGCCCAAATCATAGTTATAAGCCTCGCATGCCTTACTATAGGGCTCTAGTTAGGGCCTCACCTGTCACGGCCACACGTTTTGATTTCTCTTATCGTCACCGAGAGGCCAACATCCCGCCACCACGTCTGTGGCACCTACGTCATAAGCCAAATCATAGGTAGAGCCTCTCATCGCCACTTGGCATTAGCAGGGCCTCACCTATCCAGTCATTCAATAGTTAAGTTTTTCGCCTCGGCATCTAGCATTAAAGTCCAGTTCTTCAAGACACACCACTCCCCATACCCCCCCTTCTTACCTCACTCCCCTTCTAATATATCTTTCACATAATCATTCCTTTTTAGAATGTCCCAAGAACCAATTCCAACCGAAGAACTGACAGAAGAAGCACCATTCACGCCAATCAGACCCGTGTCTCCAGGCGAATCACTCACTCTTTCAACCCCCACGTCCTTGAGAGCATGGACTATTCCCAAAATCACAGCCGAGCTTAGGCTCAGGGGAATCCCCTTTCCGGCCACAGCTAGAAAGGCAGAACTTTACAGGCTGCTTACCCACCAAGTCCCCGAGCCTCGGCCGGGAACTAGCTCTCAAGGACAACCACCAAGTACCAGCACGGCCACCCAGGATACCCTGGCAGATATCTTGGCCAATCTACAGGCCCTCAATAGCAGGCTGTCTAAGGTGGAAAGCGCCATCTCCTCCTCAGGTACTAACACCGTAGTCCCAGTCTCTACCACGGCTGTACCTGCCATACCTTCATGTCCCTCTATACTCCCCCCTCCAGCACCTGGCACAGCCATCACACCTTTCGAGTCACCAGCACACTCCGTCCCAGATTCTATCAGGAAAGATATCCTTGACGGGAAGGATGTGTGTCTGGTGTCTTTACTCATAGCCTCTCAGGATGTACTCGAGAACAAGGCATACAATTATGGTGACATCTCTGTTGTGCTTAAAACGAGGGATCCCAGGCTTAATAAAAAATTGTCTATCCCACAGTTTGTGATAGCTTTCGGGATATACCGCGACGTCATTTGCACGGTGTATCCCCATAGGAGAGAAGAGCTAGATCTCTATCTCCACAAGGTAGTGGATCTAGGCATCAAGTACGGGGGCTCTTCCTTCTATGACTACCACAAGTCAGTCTCAGCGAAGGCGGCGACCCATCTCAAGCAGTTCAACATTAGAATGAACTGGGGTCAGATGGACACTGAACTTTTCTGTCGCCACTTCGCCGGACTCAGGCCCCCGGCTTGTGCCATCTGTAATTCCACATCCCACATGGCGGACTTATGTCCCGTCGAACCAGATCCCACCACCTCCACTCTCACCCCTCACCCCACGTTCACACCTCACTCCTCTTTCACCCCTCACAAGCCAGCGGGTGGTCTCCGGGATAAGCTGGGTAGGCCCATCTCCTTTTTAGGTAAAGCACAGGTGTGCAATAATTTCAACGCAGGCTCCTGCAGTTTCAGCGCCTGTAGACTATTGCACATCTGCTCCATATGTTTCAGGGCACATACCAAGACCATGTGTCCAGCCAGGTTGTCACCAAACAAATGACTAACCGACATTAATATCGACAACCTGGTTTTTTATCTAAGGTGTCACCCCAGCAGGCACTTAGTGGATTTTCTCACCACAGGTTTTTCACAAGGGTTTCACACAGGCATAATAGCCATTCCCCCAGGTACACTAGAATGTCCTAATCTCCAGTCTGCACGTTTAGACCCAGTCGCTGTAGACACTCTCATTTCCGCAGAAACCACAAACGGTTTCATGATCGGTCCTTTCACCTCTTCACCGTTTTCCTCCTGGCGCACTAACCCTATTGGTATTGCTATTCACAAATATTCTAATAAAAAACGTCTCATTATCGATTTATCGGCACCGCACTCCTCTTTTGTTCCAAGCATAAACGCACTCATTCCAGCAGACGAATTCTCTCTGCAGTACGTCACCATCGACGACGCTATACAGTCTATCATGACATCTGGTAATCGACCCTGGCTCAGCAAAACAGACATCACTAACGCCTTTAAATTACTGCCCATACACCCCTCACTCTGGCACTTACACGGTGTTAAATGGCGAGGGTATTATTACTTCTCAACACGACTCACTTTTGGTTCCCGAAGCAGCCCCAAACTTTTCGACATTTTCGCTGAGTCACTATGCTGGCTGCTTCTGAATGTCATCAGGTGTCACTCCGTTATTCACTATCTAGATGACTTTCTACTGATAGAGCCAGGGTCATCAACACCCACAGCAATCAATAGTACTACCGCACTTTTTTCCACACTTGGAGTCCCTTTGTCCCCAGCCAAAACTATAGGACCCACCACAAAGTTGACCTTTTTAGGCATAGAGCTCGATTCTGTCAAACTCAGAGCTAGCCTTCCACACGACAAACTTTCACGATTGAGAGGGGAGATAGACACGTTCCTGCGGAATGACGTTTGCACCAGGAGAGAACTTCAGTCCCTTCTTGGATCTCTGAACTTCGCCATGCGCATCATTCCGCAGGGAAGGTCTTTTATTTCCAGACTTCTTTGCCTGCTCCATGGAGTCCCGGACTCCGGCACAGTTTCTTTGGACCCCCACGCCAAGGCTGACTTGGCTATGTGGGGGAAGTTTTTGAAAGACTGGAATGGTATCTCCATGTTTATCCCCCTCTCTCCACCTCTTCACCCATCATCCACACAGACGCAGCAGCCAACACCGGTTTCGCAGCCATTTTCGGGAACCACTGGTTTAGGGGCCACTGGCCCACTGAGACGGATGCCTTGCCAGGATTCAGGGAAACCTCAACCCTATTTGAAATTTACCCCATTGTGGCGGCCGCACACACCTGGGGTCATCTCTGGTCCGGCAAGGCAGTAAAATGCTACTCAGATAACTCGGCAGCTTGCGATATTATTAACAAAGGGCGCTCATCATCCCTAACCATCATGCGGCTGATTCGCAAGTTGACCTGGCTGGCAGCATCCAATCAGTTTCACTTAGTATGTTCTCATATCCCGGGTATTCACAACACCGCCGCTGACGCTCTTTCTCGTTCTCGATTCCAGGCATTTTCTCAGGCACTCCCAGCAGCTCACCATCAGCCATCCAGGACACCACGGTTTCACGAACTAATATTGGATTAAGCACACTCTTGCTTCACGCTAGATCACTCACTCACCAAGCATTATCACCCAACACTGCTATCACTTACAATAGGGCACTTAACATATTTAATAAATTCACTGCAGAATTTGGGCTACAAGGTGACTTTTCTATCCAAACCATGGTGTCTTTTGCCTCTTTCTGCCACCTACACCTTAATCTGTCACACAACACCATTAAACTTTACCTCACCGGGGTTCAGCACCACAGCCTCACCAATTTTCCTAACAGCACCCCCTTTTTGTCTTCATACCCCATAAAAAAGGTCTTGAAAGGTATATCTAAGGTTTCACCACCACTCGCAAGCACTAGATTACCCATAGACGGGCCTATCTTCAGGTCTCTTAGCAATCTCCTTGACACAGCCCCATTTGATAGCTACACCAATACGGTGATAAAATCTGCCATATATCTCGCTTTCTACGGTTTTCTCAGACCTAGAGAGTTCACAGTGATTTGTCAAGGAGATATCGCACAATGCCTTAAAACTTCACACCTCACCAAGGTAGAGGATCACTACCTCCTCTCTATCCCTACCACTAAAACCAACCGGTCAATACATCCTACAATAATTCCTCTCTTCCCTACTGATAATGCCTGGTGTCCGGTGAAAGTTCTCGACCAACTACGGTCTACTTTTCGCACTCACCTGCCAGACTCTCCGCTCTTAACATTACAAGGGCACCCGCTTACCACGGCAAAATTGATGTCACATGTCAGAACCCTGTTATCTAAGCTCGGACACAATCCGGCTGCATTCTCCGGGCACTCCTTCCGCATAGGAGCCGCCTCAGCAGCCTCAAGCACAAACGCACCGGTCCACATCATCAAAAGGCTCGGGCGATGGAAATCCTCCATATATAACGCATATATTCCGCAACCAGAGAAAGAGCTTCGCCAAGCTTTCAGAAACTTGGTCTTGTAAAATGCAATAAAGTGTGTATTTTCTCGAATTTATCTTTTTGCCCTCTTTTATTTACAGGCCCACTCGTACGTTGGTTTCGGCACACCACAACCAACTTTGCTCACAGTTACTATCCATCACGTATTTAAATTCCGAGCACAAGTAGAAAGGCCATTAGGCCTGAATTTGTGGGAGGAGTAAGTCCCCTACTTAAGCTCCCAGCCCCTACTCACCGCTGCCGCTCAGCTGATTGTCCCCACCCACCTACACCCTGTTTTAACTACATTATCCTTGGTGGGCCCTCTTTTATTTACAGGCCCACTCGTACGTTGGTTTCGGCACACCACAACCAACTTTGCTCACAGTTACTATCCATCACGTATTTAAATTCCGAGCACAAATATATATATATATATATTTCTTCCAGTATTCCATTGTTTATATAGTATGTTGTATCCTCTGCTTCTTCTCTTTTTCTCATCTCTCTACAGGGGTTATCCCCCAATTAGGAGGTATACGTAGGCATTTATTATATTTTTTCATCTTTTCTTGCTTTTCTTTTTGTTGTATTTTCAAACCAGTACTTTCACACCAGTCATTCTGAACTCCTGGGTTTGGGCCTTCCTACTATTTCGGTGGAACAGTTGAAACAGTTACATCGTATCCATCATTCCCGTCCCCTCTTCATACAAATGCACACGCATGTTTTTTATGCAGTGGAATATCCTTTCCCTGTGCACTGAGTTAATTTTTCAATTGAAGAATGGCTCACTGAGTTGATTTTAAAGTTAATGATTGGGTCACTATAGTCATGCCAAACATGTGTAATGTTAAGTAATTTGAGAATGTGTCAAAAGAGTTTAAAGCGGTTCTGTCATCTTCTGGGGTCTTTGTATACTGGTGTGATGGTGACATCACCACTCGTTGTGCCGGGAGTACAGGAGAAGGTAGGTTGTACTTACCTGAAGCTGTCCACCGCCATGTCCATCTGGGGGAAGCTCTCCGGCTCCAGGCAGTACATCTCCCAGGAACCCACGTCAGTGATGTGAGCGAGTAGAACAATTATGTTTATGTAGGATCTTTATGGGCAATGCCCTTTTCTTCACAGCTAGAACTAGTGATGGCTGGTGGCATTAACAAAACTTGACAACAATAGCTCCCTCCTTGTCAAGTTTTGTCAAGCAGAGGGAAACTGCATAAAGCAAAATAGCCCCTGCTTTGTCTTATAACGTCTTTTTGACTGTGTTGGATTTTAAGTGTAAGTCCAACACAGATTTTATCTTTATGAAATATTCATTATTTTGGAAGGGTGACAGAGCCGCTTTAAGAACCACTGTTTTAGACCATCAATGGTCTAGGCTTGACAGGCTCTCTTTTCCAGAGTATTAACTCTGCTTCTGAGATAAAATCTTTAAAATCTATAAAATACCCAGACTGACTTTGTAGTTTCATGAAAATTCCAAAGGAATCTCTTGATATCATAAGGTAAAATAGGGACTATGTATTATGGGCAAAGGCTAGGTTGATAAAAAAGCCTTCAAAAAGTGGAGCTTTTGCTGTCAGGTTTTGCCAATTATTGATGGTTGAGGAAAAGGCATTTCTCACAAATTGCATAAGAAGTTGTATGAATTTTCTTGAGGTCTTGCAGTGTCTTCCACATAAATTCCATTTTTACTCAGGAAAGCTGGAACATGCTAAAGAATGTTTGAAAGGAATTGAAGCAAGTTTGATGTTTACAGGCATCCATAAATTGTGTAATTCCTCTTATTTTAGTTTTCCTTTTTTACCGTACTAATTTGTAACGTTTTTGTTGGATTGCATTATTTCAGACAAATATGTATTTCTTACTCTATGCGCCCTAGTCATCATTTGGGTGACCAGGCCAGTGCAGCCAGAGTTAAAAAATATATTTTACTTACCTTTCTTCTCTTGCAGCACTGGTCTTGTCACCTATTTGTCTGAGATCAACTAGGGAGGCTAGTGCGCATGCGTGGCAAAACACCATGCCCACCAATCAGATGGTCTCTCTGAGATCATCTTATTAAAATAGCAGTTTTATTCTGCTATTTCATGGAAGCGCCTCTAGTAGCTGCCTTATTGACCATCTCTCATTGATATGACTTGGTCTGTGTTCTTATAGTACTTTAATATGAGGCCAACATTTCCTAAAATGGATATGTTTACAACGTAATGTTACCATCGATTTCACACAGTCAATATGGAACTCTCAGAAATCAACATTTTAAAGACTTCATAACCTGTGAGAACTTGAAAATTGGACATTGCATTGTTTTTGCAGCACTGTGCAGAAGGGGTTTTCTTATGTTTGTTTTGAAAGCACTTATTCAGCACCTTTTATGTAGAAATGTGAAGTAAAGGTAACATTTGGATAATTTGGATAATATCAGTGTTAGTTCAGGATCTTAAAGGGGGATTTATAAACAAATTATATTGTTGTTATGTATTTCTAAATGTATGGTATATCTGAAATTGTGTGTGAGTCCATTTTGTGTCTATAAGCTCCCATCCTCAGCTGCGCTGCAAATATCACAACAATAAGACATTGGGCATACTCTTATTTATGGAAAATACATTCTCTTAATTTTTCATTAGTTTATCACTGAACAATGAAAACATTTTTTTTTTTTAAATCCAGAGAGATAGTAGAAATACAGTCACTCAATTGGTGTATTCAACATAATACTTTTAAATCTTGCTGAGGTCACTCCAAACAAATCTAGCCATTCTCCCAATCTATACATTTGCCAGCAAAACCGCTAGCACAATGCTTACATGGAATTTGAGGCCTTTAAAAAAGATCAAGACTACCTTTTGTCATGACAGGTTCCCTTTTTGATGTTTTTAAAAACTCCAGGATCCATAACCATTGCAGCCTGAGCTCTCAGCGAATAAGCTTTCAGCCAGTTATGCAGTGGTTATGGTGCATGAAGGCCCCTGGAGCCATCCGATGACAAGTCATGGACAATTTGAGAGTTATCTGTGTCCCTGTCTTCTTTTGTGGTGTACCATATAAGTTACCCTTAGTACAGCACCAGGCGAATTCTGGAACCATAACCACTTCAACCTGTTGCAGCAGTTATCGTGCCTACAAAGCCCCTTTAAAGGGTTATTCCAAGCATCATAACCAATATGGCTAGCTGCAGTGGTTATGATGACAAGAGTCTCCTGACCTGATTACCTGGTTATGACTATTAAATGAATTGACCTCTTATCTGGGTCCCTACCAGGCTCCTTATCTCCTGTCCTGCTACGTGACGAGCTCTCGGCTTCTGCAGAGGTGCAGAAACTGGAACCTGATGCAGTCGCCATTCAATGGCTTAGTGTTAGCTGACTGTTCTCAGCCAATAAATGGAATTCTGTGCAAAATAAATTTGATGATGTCACTCCTGTCATGCTGCCATAGGTGAAGCTACATCTCAGGCAGCAGAGGGGTTACTCTCTGTATGTACAGCGTTCCAAAGTGAAATGCTGCACATACAGGCTTCAGGCACCATAACCACTTCAAGTCACTGAAGTGGTTACGGCACTTGGAGTAACCCTTTAAGGTAATCAGTGCCATTCTGGTTGAAAATCAAAGGATCTTGGTAAGACATGCATATTGAATTTGCCAAGCTGTCACAGCATGGATTTATGTTCTTAAATGGAAAGGCAACTGAGAATGTCAGAGTTTGGGGGAAAAGTCTATCTACGTGAGTAAGAGGCTTTTTCATTGAACGATTTGTCATTTTATCTCTGATCAGTGATTGGTGTATTTCTGTCACGTGATCCTGATGCTATTTTTAGTTTTATATTTGCACAGATTATATTCATACACTAGCTAGAACGGTACAGAATTGTACTGATTTTCTAGAGAAGACTCTTTAAGGCCCTTTATCCATTTGTGTTTTGAATTATTCTTCCAGATGTGCTTAGTGACGCATTATCCCTCCTACATCTTCTCTGAGATTCCTCTGGTCTCTCTAATGCTCCATGGATTAGATAATATTTAAGAGAGTGAATTATATTAGATGTAGATATAAAATCCAAAAAAAATTTCAGTCAAAAATATATACAGTATAAAGACAAGCTTTGCGTGTACTGTTATGTATATTTGGAAGAAAATTTGATATTTGTGTTTTTTTATCAAGCACAAACTGCATTAAAGGGACAGTTTAGGCACCATAACAACTTCATTTAAATTAAGGTGTTATGGTGCCAGAAGGCCCCCAGGCACATTCTTACCTCAAGAGGTTAAATGGTTCTCGAATGGTTTTACCCTAAAGCGAGCCTCTCAGCTCAGCAACAGTCTCAGCTCCCTCCAGGCGACATTCGGCTTCTGAAATTTCAAGAAATTTCAGAAACGTAGCTTTTCCAAGCCAGTTTTGTAAATGGGCAGTCTTTGATTGGCTGAGGGCTTCAGCTGATCTCTCAGCCAATCAGCGATGCCCCAGCCTGGCGGCACTCTGAGCTTCCTGAAACTAAAATTTCAGAAGCCAGATGCCGCCTAAGTGTAGTTGAGATCAGCGCTGGATGTAACTTTGGGGTTAAACTTTTTGAGAACTGTTTAACCCCTTGAGGTAAGAGTGTGCCCAGGAGCCCCCTGGCACCATGACAACTTCACTTTGATGAAGTAGTTTTGGTGCTTGGAGTGTTCCTTTAACTCTGATTCATACGCTAAACTACGAGTTCTGGAAATTTAAATGTGTAATTAATATTATAGTCCAAAGTAGCCAAGCTGGATGATATAGCTGAATTTATGAAATTTTCAAACAAAGGTTCTGAACAGGCTAATGTAAATGTTGTGCATATTGAGGCACCATGCGCATCATGCTGTCGAATGATGATCAGAGGTGCGCGTGGCCCCCTCTCCGTGCCGTCCAAGTCCTCTCCCTCCAGGATTGCTGTCATGAATAGGAATGAGCGCTGCAGAATTTTTTGGCGCTTTATAAATAATAACAATAATGTCACCAGAGGGAGATTGGCCTGCCGGGAGAACTTGGCATCAGCGTGGGATCACAGGTAAGTTTAAGCTATTTCCCTTTTTAAAAACCCTTTGAGGGGGCATGGAAGTAAAGATATAAAATTTTCTTGTGTGTGTGTGTGTATTTTCTTGAATTTTTTGTTTGGAGTAACCCTTTAAAGGAATACCTCGAGCGCCATAACCACTAAAGAGTGGTTAGTGGTTATGATGTCAGAAGTGCCTTTTAGCCACCATTGTAAGTAGTCAAACTAGTAGTTTGACTTCTTACCTGGGGTCCTGACCTCCGCTACTTTTAAAAGAGAGACAGAACCCTTTGGTTAGGAACTTTGTACCAAGCTCTGCAGTAAGGGCTAGCTCATTGGTGGAGAATATCAGCTAATTGGTCTCAGCCAATTAACTAAGCCCCGCACCACTGATCTCAGCCAATTAACTACTATATACAAGATAAAAGGTGCGCTGTGTTTTTCAAACAAAGTTACATATATGATGACACACACAAAGAGTTAAACTGTAATACTGCAATACAATAGACTGTGATACTGTAATACAATATACAGCCCCACTCTAGTGAAGTGACTTCGTTTTTCTAGAATTGTGCAAAATACATCAAAGTCCACTAAACAAGTGCAAAAACCACTCAATGTGATTTAGTGCGTATAAAACCCAAACATGGTAACAACTTACAATAAATAATCGATGTAGTGAAGATTCTAAGCTTCTAATATTCTTATTCACTTGTTTATTATTGTTTTTTTCTTGCTTCCAGCTATCGGTCTTAAGAAGTAAACCTAAAACTATATGACTACTTTAAATGAGCAACTACAGCATGGTGTGATTTAAGCTATATATTATGGAGATTAAAGGACCACTATAGTGCCAGGAAAACATACTCGTTTTCCTGGCACTATAGTGCCCTGAGGGTGCCCCCACCCTCAGGGTCCCCCTCCCGCCAGGCTCTGGAAGGGGGGAAGGGGTAAAAACTTACCTTTTTCCAGCGCTGGGCGGAGAGCTCTCCTCCTCCGATCCTCCTTCTCTCCTCCCCTTCGGCTGAATGCGCACGCGCGGCAAGAGCTGCGCGCGCATACAGCCGGTCACATAGGAAAGCATTCATAATGCTTTCCTATGGACGCTGGCGTGCTCTCACTGTGAAAATCACTTAGAACTCAGCACCCTTTAAAAATAGTAGAAACATCCTGATTGGCTGAGACATTTCCTGGTTTAATTGGAACACACTGCAGAATCTGCAAAGCGTGTTGCTATGTAAAAAAAAGAAGGGTCTTCAAAGATATTGTTTTGTTTCATTTTTATATTGGGCATATTTTTCATGTATTATGTATAAAATATATATATCCCACCAGTAGTGTCCCTTTAAAGGCAATTTCAGGTACATACCCCTATCGATAATGCAGTGTGTCCCAAAGTGCTCATTATCTCTAGTTAGACACTTGATACGAAAGTTTTATCAACGTGTTGCTAAACAGAAAAACAAAACATTTCATGGTTTCCGGCTATAACGCAGCTATATATCCTTGCACAAAAATAGACATAATCCACCTCCACATCTGGTGCTAGAATGATTCTGGCGAGTGGCCACGCTAACAGAAAGCCTGGCCTGTTGTATTGTGCAGGAGTTACACCGTTAGCAGCATTTTATATATTTGCATTTCCACGTAAATACCACTGATGGCACGTGGTGTAAGATAACCTCCATGAGTTTAGACAGTATTTATTTTTGGCTAGGTTCCTTCTATGCTTCCTTTTTAGTCTTTCCAGTGTATGTTTGGCAGGACTTCCAGTGTGCACTAGTTGTATTAGCCTGTGGGAGTCTGTGTTTTGTGATGCTACCACCTTGGCACTGTGGTCTGTACCTTCACTTCTCATCAGCCTTTCTCTGAAGTTAAAGTGACACACTAAGAAACATAATAACCACTATGGTCCAATGTTGTGAATATGTTGCCAAGAGTCTCTAGCGGCTGGGCCACGATTCTTTGTCAGACCTTTTGGTAGAGTTTTGACAAAAACTAGGACTCTTCGCGGCAACCAGAAACCAACCTCTCCTCTGCCACATTGGTAATCGAGAATTTACGCCCCTGCATTAACATTATTGGTTTTATCCAGTTTGGACAGTGGTGATTGGCTGATAATGTTTCTGCAGTGGTTATTTTGCTTAGAATGCCCCTTTAAGATCCATCATGCACTTGTATGTCTTGTTGATCTCGTTCACCCAGGGAGATAAAGAGGGCGTTGTTAGATGTGATGTAGAACAGATGGTTGTCATGTGGCACAGAGCGCTGCAGCTCACATTTACACGTATACCTGGCAGAACCTGTTGGGTGAGATAGCTGAGCAAAGGATTTTAGGCTGACAGTCATTGGCACTGTGTGGTTAGATCACAGTAAGTCATTCTGTTTTCATATAAAGTGGATTAAAATGTAGCAATAAAATGATTTATGAAAGGAATGTATCCGCAATAAGTTACAGTCAGGTCCATAAATATTGGGACATTGACACAATTCTAATCTTTTTGGCTCTATACACCAACACAATGGGTTTGAAATGAAACAAAAAAGATGTGCTTTAACTGCAGACTTTCAGCTTTAATTTAAGGGTATTTACATCCAAAACGGTTTAGGAATTACAACAGTTTGTATATGTGCCTCCCACTTTTGAACGTTTTGATACAAGGTTTGTGTAGGTGGGCTTGAAAATGAGGGAGTGGTGGCAGTTTAGACATCATGTCCTGATTTTTCAGCTTTTGCCAGCTCCCAATCTAGTTTTGAACATTTTGTCATTCATTCCTATGGGACCAATTTTGCCACAAGAACGACGATATTCCGTGTACCATTCGGCGAAACGTTCCACAAAGTAATAGCACACCAATCGGGAACAATCCGCACGTTTCGGTTTATTACTGTCTATGTAGTGTAAAAACTGTGGGAGGAGTTAGGGTGGTAAATTTAGCTATAATAAGAATAATAATATATATGTGAGATAACATTAAGTGGTCTTGCTATACAAGAACACTTAATTAATAGGAAGAGTTATATGGAGCAATAAGAGGAGTTATAGGGAGAGTTATATGAAGTAATAGGAGAAGTTATAGGGAGTAATAGGAGGAGTTATAGGGAGGGTTATACGGAGCAATAGGAGGAGTTATAGGGAGCAATAAGAGGAGTTATAGGTAAGGTTATATGGAGCAATAGGAGGAGTTATAGGGAGAGGTTATATGGAGCAATAGGAGGAATTATAGGGAGGGTTATATGGAGTAATAGGAGGAGTTATAGGGAGGGTTATATGGAGCAATAGAAGGAGTTATAGGGAGGGTTATATGGAGCAATAGGAGGAGTTACTGGGAGGGTTTTATGGAGTAATAGGAGGAGTTATAGGGAGGGTTATATGGAGCAATAGGAGGAGTTACTGGGAGGGTTTTATGGAGTAATAGGAGGAGTTATAGGGAGGGTTATATGGAGCAATAGGGGGAGTTATAGGGAGGGTAATATGGAGTAATAGGAGGAGTTACTGGGAGGGTTTTATGGAGTAATAGGAGGAGTTACTGGGAGGGTTATATGAATTATTAGGAGTCTTTTATGGAGTTATATTGAGCAATACAAACATTTTCAGATATTATATGGCATTAACACATAACACAGTGAGTTAAATGATAGCAGGAAGATTTGGCTGTCTACTGAAATAGTGCTTGACATGTTTCTTTTATGTTGTATCCACATTAAGATTCACATTAGGCACTGCCAGTTGTTTAGGATTGTTCAATGAAAATATTTAGTTTTGCTGCCGTAGCAATACTGTTATTTACTTTGATTAACATTTATAGAAGCCATCTGACTAATCGTATACCACAACCCCTTTTTAACAGATGTTTTCTAGTTAAAACTGTGTGAAAGGCCAAAACTGTTTTCGAAGTAAATCACTACGTTAACCCCTTCATGACTGATAACTTGCCAAGACTGTGATGAACGCAAACGATTTGCCTAATTCTGAAGTGGTAGAACTGAAAAACTGTAAACGCCTAGACAGACAGAGAAGATTACAGATTACATTACAGTAAATTGTGACAGTCGTGCAATTTATTTATATTTTGATATAGATCCACGGGGCTATTTACTAAAGTGTGAATTGTAATAAATTCAGTAAATTCATAGTATCAAAGTAAATTTCAAATATTGGGCCAAAAATGGGGGAATAGCTTTCAGTACTGCTATTTTAGTCTACAATTTCAAATTAATTTTCAATTCCGGATAATTCCCACTTTAGTAAGTAATCCTGAATTTTAAAAAACACTCTGAGCACCATAACCACTGCAGCGAGTTATGGTGTAGAAGAGCACTAGTGTCCTCCCAAAGTAAGTATTCAAACAGTTTAAGAACAGTTGGACAATTTACCAGGGGTCCGTTGTGTGCCTGTTGTAGCCTCTTTCACTGCGATAAACTCTGCCACTGAGCTTAGCCTGGTGAGGTAGACTGGGCTTATTGGCTGAGAACACTCAGCTGACTTTCCTAGCCAAAGAGCTGGTCCAGCGTGGCAGGGCTTAGCACAGTGGATACTACAGTATCACCTTGCAGAACCATTAGCCTCCAAGGGAGGTGGTCATGGTCTCCTGGTGGGACTAAATCAGATAATTCTTAAAGGAACAGTATAGCGTTAGAAATACAAACATGGAATCCTAACGCTGAAGTGTTCACCTGTGACCTATCTACATAGGTGTTCAACCCCCATTGCAGTGGCTTCCTAATAGCCCCTATAGGCCTGTTAACCCTGCAATGAAAACACTGCCGTTCTGGCAAAATGGTAATATTTTCAGTAGCAGGCATAAACAGACAGCTACATTGCACCCAAACTACTTCATTGAGATGAAGTGGTTTAGGTGCCTATAGAATCCCTTTAATCGGTTTGATTACTTTCTGCAGTACGGCGTCTGGCACCTTAACCACAGGAGCAGGTTATAGTGGCTATGGTACTAGGAGGCATCTTTTAACACTTTTCAGATAGCTGCAGAGTAGAGGGAAGCTATGGTAAATGTAGTATTTATACAGTGTCTGCGTTTGTGGAATCTCAGAGAAGATTTAGCTTGACTAATGCATCAGTAACCACATCTGGAAGAATAATTCAAAACAGAAACGGATAAGGACCTTGTAACTGCCTCCGCTAGAAAATCAGTACATTTCTGTGGCTGCTTGTATTTAATTTAATCTGCGTAAATAAAAACCTAAATATAACACCAGGATCATGTGACATGCATACACCAATCAGTAATCAGAGATACAATGTCAAATCAATCAATAGAGATGTGTCTAACTGATAAAAATTATTATTATGTTTTATGCACAGTTGTTTTATGTAAAGATAATCGAACTGTGAGAGCTGATTCACTAAGCAGTGAATTGTAGTGAATTGGAAACAAAACTATAATTAGGTGAAAATTGTGGAAGAATTCTCCAACTTGGGTATAATCACAGCTTGGCTATTTTAACCTGAAATAAGATACCAGAGAAACAGGAAAGGGCACATAATCAGGACTGTCCCTCTGGTTTTATTATTATTATTTTTATTTTTTTATAGTTATGTGGAACATTTTACCTTACTGTAGAAGATATAGTAAATGCACTAGCCATACGGTGTATGTATATTTTATTTATAGTACTAACAGGGTACTTAGCGCTTTACAGATTGGATTACTAATTATACAGTGTATGTATATTTTATTTATAATGTTAACATGATTACTTACGGCTTTGGGTTATATTACAATAGACGTGAGCCACAGTAAATGCTGTAGTTATATGGTATAGGTATAAATTGTTTATATAACTATAACAGATATACTTACCACCAATGTGTGTTAAACCCCCCCACCCTCCCCTTCCCTCTCCCTCTCCCTCTCCCTTCCCTCTCCCTCTCCCTCTCCCTTTATTGATAATTTAGCATGCTGCTGGGAGGCTGACATTGGCGTGCACAGCCTATTGCATTAGAGTGTGCACCGTAAAGCACAAACACATGTCGCATGTATGTATGTATATATATATATATATATATATACACACACACACACACTATTGTTTGTGTGTGTCTGTGTTCTGTTAGTGCACTGTGTGAGGATGCTGTGTGTGTAAGGGTGCCGTGTGCGTGTGAGGGTGCTGTTAGTGTGATGTGTGTGTGTGAGGGTGCTGGTAGTGTGCTATGTGGGTGAGGGTGCTGTTAGTGTGCTGTGTGTGAGGGTGCCGTTTGTGTGCTGTGTGTGAGGGTGTTTGTGTGCTGTGTGTGAGCGTCCTGTTAGTGTGCTGTGTGAGGGTGCTGTGTGTGTGAGGGTGCCGTTTGTGTGATGTGTGTGTGTGAGAGTGTTGTTTGTGTTGTGTATTTGTGAGGGTTCTGTTAGTGTCGTGTATTTGTGTGAGGGTGCTGTTAGTGTGCTGTGTGTGTGTGTTTGTAAGGGTACTGTGTGTGTGTGTGTGTTTGTAAGGGTGCTGTGTGTGTTTGTGAGGGTGCTGTTAGTGTGCTATGTGTGTGAGGGTGCTGTGTGTGCTGTGTGTGTGTGGGTGCTGTATGTGTATGTGTGCTGTGTGTGTGAGGGTGCTGTGTGTGAGGGTGCTGTTTGTGTGCTGTGTGTGTGAAGGTGCTGTGTGTGCACGCTGTTTGTGTTAGGGTGCTGTATGTGTGTAGGTGCTGTGTGTGTGTGTGGCTGCTGTATGTTTGGAGAGATTGTGAAGGTGGGGGCAGATTAGTAAATATCCCCCTCCCTTCTTACCTTATGTAGGTAGGAGGGATCCTTGCTGCCATGTGCCATCCCTGGTGGTCCAGTGGAGAGTGAACTCTAGCCTGCGGGGCTAGAGTTCACTCTCGCGAGATCTGAGCGTCGCGAGAGAGAGGAACCTGGCGGAGCTTCTGTCTAGAGCTCCCCGGGTCCTCTTCTGCCTCCCTCCATGCTGCTGTGGGCCGGTGAGGTAGATCTTTGATCTCCCCGCTGGCCCATGGAGGCTTGGAGTAGAGCCGGCACTCAGATAGCGCCGGCTCTGCATGAGCCGACAGGGGAGATCCAGAGATCTCCCCTGCCGGCAGGGGTCAAGTCCTGGGGAATAAAGGGTGGGAACTCTCCCAAGATTCCCACCCCCCCCCAAAAAAAATTATATACACTTGTGTATATAAATGTGCACACACACACTTACATATATATATATATATACACACGCGTACACACACATACACTCACAGACACATACATGCTCAGAAACATACATTCACAGACACACACACATACATTCACAGACACACATGCACACACACACTTACAGACACACACATACTCAGACACACACACACATACATATACAGACACACACACACACACACACACTTACAGACACACACACATACACATTCACAGACACATACACATACACATACTCAGACACACACACATACACACAGACACACACACACTCACAAATAAAAAGATTTAAATTAAAAATTTTCCACCCAGCCTCCCTACCTGGAGTGCTGGCGTGGACTTGTCCCTGGGGTCCAGTGGGTCGGGCGCCTGTCTCCATCTAAGCCGCGTTGAGGGAGCTGTGTGCTCTCCGCTCCCTCTCGCCGCGCGGGCTGTCTGCTGTAGCTGGGATCCGGAATATGACGTCAAAACGGCGAGAGGGAGCAGAGAGCACACAGCTCCCTCGCCACGGCTGAGATGGAGACAGGCGCCCGACTGGGGGGTATCACCACTTGGCACCCCCCCCCAGTGACAGGGGGAACACGGGGGAGGAGGAGGGCGTTTGGGGGGCGGCAGAGTGCCTGCAGGAACAGCGGGAATACCGTTCCCACGCGTTCCTGCAGGACTCACAGGCGTGCCGCGGGGATTAGGGTGTGCCCAGGCACACCCCGTGCGCACGCCTATGGAGGCTGAGTAACTAGTCATGTCAGGATTTTGGGTAATTTATTTTAAAAAAAACAGGCAATCTAACAATGCCCATTTTCAGGGTATAGACCCCTTAGACATGCTTAGTCGGCCCTAAAAGAATTTCTGCAGTCAGCCATTGGCTTTGCATGAGGCTGTAGATTCCTGAATACCCATATAGACAAGTCTGCATATCATTCTTTCTCTAGGGATGTCATTGAATAAAAGCATCATTAGGTGGAGTTGGACCTCTTTACGGTTTCCCAGATACACACATCTGTGGAGTTATTGTTTTGAATAGAGTATGACATCATGGGGTTAAAGTTGTATTCCTGGCGCTATAGTAGCCTAAATTGCCCCCCTTCCTCGCGCCCCCAATCCTCCGTGGTGCTATAAGGGTTAAAAACCCTTTTGTCACTTACCTGATTCCAGCGCTGATGTCCCTTAGCACTGAGTGAGGCTCCGCGTCTGCTCCTCCCCCGCCGATGTCAGCAGTCAAGGGGCGGGGGGTCTAATACACATGTGCGGCAAGTGCCACAATCGCAATAGGACTACCCCACAGAAAAGCATTGAATCAATGCTTTCCTGTGCCGTTTTAGCTGACGCTGGATGCACTCATGCAGAAAGTGAGGACGCCCAGCGTCAGATAGGCAACTAAAAGTCGCCTGACGAACTGGGAGTGCCTTTAGTGGCTGTCTGGTAGGAAGCCACTAGACGTGGAGTTAAACCTGCAATATAATTCTTGCAGTTTATCAATAACTGCAATAATTACAATTGCAGAGTTAAACTGACAGGGACACATTGCACCCAGACCACTTCAATGAGCTGAAGTGGTCTGGGTGCCTATAGTGTCCCTTTAAATAGGCCGAGCCCAACAAATCAGAGTGCAGTGCCCACCATTTCTAAACTTTACCAGCTACCACTGCTTACCACAATAAACCGTACGTTAAAGTCAAGGGGAGATACAGAAATACAGTATGTATAGTAGATCATTATAAACACAAATTATTAATAATTTAAGTTATGCATGCTTTAGAATGGTTACATGGTTTCCCCGGCTCATGCTCTGCACACGTCTTCCTTTCTCCCACGAAACGACCAGGAGATGGGTTACTGGACAGAGCTCAGTGCCTGGTTGTAGCTGCATGCTTCTCATTCAGTGTATTCCAGCTGTGATCTAGTTTCATAACTTCCAGCTGTGCTCTCATTTTACAATATCCAGCTGTGATCTCAGCCATGACGTTACAGCTGCATTGTAATTTAGTTTCGCCGTGCATTGTGGTAATATTTCGAATGTATGGGAATAGGGAACATGAAGCTGTGAGTAAAGAAGGGAAGTGCAAGATAAGTGGATGACTTGGGATTCAGAGAAATGAGACAAATAAAAAATGTACCATAATAGGTGGTAAAATCGATTTAGTTACTAAAACAGAAATTGAGAAGAATTGAAATTGGCAAAGTACACTTTGGGTGAAAATAGCCAAAAATCTAAGATAATTTGTTACAATTCCCAGTTTCATGAATTTATCTAGAATGCTCCCATAGCTGTAATGGTTAGTAAAATAGATTTTTATGAGACAATGCAAAGCAAGAAGGGTATTATTGTGATACAGATATTGCACATACTTCATTTGGAGCTATCAGGCCACATGCCACCCGTTATGCTTTAACTGCAGTATGCATTAATCAGTTCTCATAAGGAGGGGTCCCTCTCCCTTCACACCCCCAACCTGCTATGCAGAGGCTCTGTGTGGGAGGAGTCCTGCTTTTTGTGCATTGTAGGGGGTAAGCAGCCATAAGGCTGACAAAGTGCTGAAATCTTATGTAATATCGGTGGAAAGCAGGTTAGAAATACAATGCTACACTTCTTTCTGATGTAAATTGACCCCCTGACCAGGACAGGCTCAGACAGCGCAGGTTTTGGATCTAATGTATAGCGACCCCCTGTCTGCAGATTATCAGGACAGGCTCAGACCTTGCTGGGTTTATATTGAGTGTACATCAAGCCCCTGGCTGCAGATCATCAGGACAAGCTCAGACAGTGCTGTGTTTATATCTAATGTCCAGCGACCCCCTGACTGCAAATAATCAGGACAGACTCAGAGGGTGTTGGGCTTGTATCTGCTGTACAGGGACCTCCTGACTGCAGATTATCAGGACAGGCTCAACAATGCTGGGTTTGTATCTAATTTACAACGACCCCCTGAATGCAGATTATCAAGACAGGCACAGACAGGGCTGGCTTTGGTTTTAGTGTACAGTGACCCCTTGGCTTAACTGCAGATTATCAGGACAGGTTTAGATAGGGTTGTGTTTGTTTTAAATGCCCAGTGCACCATGGTCTGCAGATGATCAGGACAAGCTCCAATAATGCTCTGTTTCTGCATCAAGCAGTTTTAGAGTTGTTACATAAAGTTGTTTACATTCTCCTTTATTTATCACTTCCCAGACTGAGAAACCACAATGACAACAGAACCGGGGACAGATACCGAGCTTCCACCAGGGCCAGATGGGCCTTCTCAGGATGGAGTATCCAGTCCAGCCCTGCATTCCCAAGATAATCCACACACCCCTGCCAATAACGTGGAGAGGCTAAGTGCCAGTGACAGACCCCTAGAAGTGAGTGAAGAGCACATTCTCTGCAATCAAAGTACATATGTACAACCAGTTATATATCTGCAATCTACAGTTTAGCAACAGTTAACCTTGGCACCCCAGATATTTATGACTTTTCGATTGTTTGGATACAAAGTTTAGCCATCTCTGATATTGGTGGTACACAATGTATTTTGTGATTTATCTAATGTGTTGCGATGCATATTGTGATTCGTATTAGTGGTACACAATGGATATTGTGATTTATGTAATGTGGTGCGATGCATATTGCTGTGATGTTCTATCATGTTGTTCTATTGCTATGTATGTTTGTCCATTTGTTCTGCAGAGCATTTAAACTTGTTTCAGATTATACGATGTTAAGAGATTTTGGTAGGTGTCTGTTTTATGAGAGTTTAGTTCCGGTTTCCCTGAACTGTGCTTGTAATCCTGACTGTTTCATTTAAGAATTTACCGGAACACTCCAGGCTGGTGTTGCCCTGTACATTTTCCATTCACGAATAGATAATACATTAACTATTCATGCAGAAACAATAAGTGAAAAACGATTATAAGAAATACTCACGTTTGTTCCTGTATTGGCTGAAAAATAACCATTCTTTACAGCTTTTGTTGTGATGTCTGCTGTGACCAGGAAGTGAATCAGTGAGTATTAAAGCTTAAAGTGGATCTGGCACTTTCTGGGGTCTTTGCATATTCTGTAAAGACCCCCAAAAGTGATACATCTGGTTAGGGTCCAGTGGCCTTGGGATGCAGTGGAAACATAGAAACATAGAATGTGATGGCAGATAAGAACCATTCGGCCCATCTAGTCTGCCCAATATTTCTAAATACTTTCATTAGTCCCTGGCCTTATCTTATAGTTAGGATAGCCTTATTCCTATCCCACACGTGCTTAAACTCCCTCACTGTGTTAACCTCTACCACTTCAGCTGGAAGGCTATTCCATGTGTCCACTACCCTCTCTGTAAAGTAAATTATTTTTAAACCTTTGCCCCTTTAATTTAAGACTATGTTCTCTTGTTATGGTATGTTTTCTTCTTTTAAATCTAGTCTCCTCCTTTATTTAAATATAGTCTCCTGGAGGGTAGGTTAAGTTATGTTAAATTGTTCCTTGCTAACTCCGCAATTTTCTTTCTCGAAATCTTCTTTGGCTCCTGTCACTTCATTTGCCCGGAGCAACATTATTGCTGTATTTTCGAGCATGCACAGTGTACAACCCCAAGGTCTCTGGTGAATGCTACCAGACCAGAGTAACCTCTATAGATAATTTCTCACTATAAGTGATGGGACCTGAATCTCACAGCTGGGAGTTCTGACGGCTGATGGGATTGGACAAGGGTTGACAGCAGAGCTCCGACTTAAGTTAACGTTTGTCAGACTTAGTAGTCCGTATATTTGTCTTATGATATTTTTCAGTGAAATTCCAACGCAATTACAATCAGTGGCGACTTGCCAACGAGTAGCTGGGATGTCGCCACCAAGGTCCCCTATCTCTCTGCAGCTAGAGTGATTATAGCTTAGAGAATTGTACTAATATTGCTGTTCATCCAAAACACTAGTCAAGACTGAGTGAAAGGTGAAGTAGAACTGCTTTATTGGAACAATGATCACACTTTTATACCTGGGGTATCAACAGGAGGTCCCCAGGAGAACAATGGTAATGCGACATGCCCAGCTCCTTTATGTCTGAACCTAAGCAGATAATGTAATTAGTGGCCAGACACCTTGGCACTGGGTTAAATTAAACACAAAATAACTGGGTTACTGTCCCACATCCCCACAATAGTGCCGCCCATGAGAAGCTCTTTTCTGAGCACCCACTCTGTCCAAAAAGTGCTCAAATCAGGGGTGTCTATCCTGAGTTAAGCGCTTAGGTTGGAGGTGTAGTATTCACTGGGCCGCGACCATCCTCCAATCCAGCGCCGAGTTCCACAGGGCTGGGTAGAACCTAAAATTATGGCACTTATGGTCGGTACATGTAGCTCCCTCAAGTCCTTTATGTCAATCGATGCATCGCAACCTCCTCTGTCACCCCTCCAAAAAGCGATCTGATTGGTGCCTCTGGGACCAAGAGCACTATGGACAAAGTTTTACGAGACCTCGACAACTCTGTGATCCGATCAAGAGTTCCATAGAGATTGTGGGCTTCTCCCATCAGGCGTATTAAACACCTGTAGTCTCCTGCCTGGTCAGTGTTGCTTCCTGGGCCGCAGGAAAGGAGGCTGAGCTGCGAGGCACGGGCTGCAGAGGAGGTGGCGGTTGGACATGTGCCAGTCCTAGGTGACCAGGCAGTCTGTGACGGAATCAGTTTTTCATAAAGATCTTTTTGAACAATAAGAAGTGGCAGAGACACTTTAATGCTTAATATTTTGTAGTGCTGAGTTTAAAGTATAGTTAAGCTTCTTTTATATACCATGTACAATGGTGCCTTATGAGCACAGGAAACGTTTCTTGGATTTGTCGCACCTTTCTATTACGCAAAGCAAACTTTTTATCTATATTTCCCAGAATCTTATGTGATGACATCCTGTACAACTTTATAGATGGAGCCATAAAAATATATGCGTAGGTTTAAAAGGAGGGACAGAAAGGTTGAGCTTATGGATAAAAAATATTTATCATTCTTTTTATAAACTAAAGAGGATGAATAAAAAACAACAACAGTATAACCAACTGTAAACTTCCCTATACACGTCACCCAATATCTGTAGGTCCCTGGACTGCCCCTTTAAAGAACAAAAATCCATATGTTTTGAATTTGAGAGAATGCCTTATTATCTTCCTGTCTCTGCTTAGTGTGCTGTCTGTCAGGGTTTTATGTGATGGGCTCTGTCTGGGCTTGATACAGTACCCAACCTCAATAATGAGTGCATCGGTAATGGCTTTGCAATTATGCATATACATTTTAGGTAAAATGTTCCTTCTGATGGAGCAGGTGCACTTAATGAACCCACGGTACGCACAGAGGGTTCAAGGTAAGTACCCTTGCAGGATTTCTAATGGAGATCCTGCTTAGAAGTTAAACAGGGAAGTGAAAATGGAGTCTACTGTCTCTTTAATAATTTTCCTTTAGTTATAAGAACAGAAAATTAGAACACACTATGCTTTTATCACCGTTTTCATTTCCCTCTTTATAAAATTGAAATAACACCATAACAAGAACAAATGCGACTTTTGGAGAAAAAATTTTGTTTAGAAAGTATCTCACTTTTAATGCACAGGAAGACGACAGATCAGATGGGGCCCAGGACAGAACAACACCAACTCACGCCCAGCGGTCACCCCAAAAACTTCCAAGAAAACCCAAGAGTGCCCTTTGCAGAGTGTCTCTGCTGGATTCATCACACTACGAGTGCGAGGTGGAGGTGAGTGAGGCTGTTGGAGATATTTAGAATGGACATTCTTAGAAAACAAAATCATAGATGGATGCCAAATTCCTGTAACCAGAACATTAACACTGCGTATGACTGGTGAAAATTCCCTTGTCTTTTTCCTGTCTTACAGAAGCATGCCCGAGGCCAAGTGCTGTTTGACATAGTGTGTGGGCACCTCAACCTGCTGGAGAAAGATTATTTTGGTTTGACGTTCTGTGACTCAGACAGCCAAAAGGTGCTAATCTCTTGCTTGTGTTAATGTCAGGATTCTACAGCAGAGTCGGCTGCACTAAGTTTGTTATCTTTCCCAAATGTGGCTGCAGTCATAGCAGGATCTGTGATGGTGCTGTAACATCATTATTTCTTGGCTTGAACTACTCATAAATAGATCAAATAGCCAAATGTATATACAGTCTTTTTATCTGAGGTTACTACTATGAAACAATGAATCCTGATAAGGCTAATCTTATGTCATGGTACTGTCCTCAGGATTCTGTCAGGGGTGGTTTTGCCAGTATTTGCATAGATCAAGTCAGGTTGCCCCTGCAGGTGGCAGAATTATTGACCCATTCACAGGTGGCAGAGGGAACATCAGGATTGCTTAACGGGTGGAAGTCAGATTCCCTTTACATGGAGTAAAGGATGTCAGGAGCCCTGTGATTTTGTGTTTGTGTGTATGTGCATTGTGTGTGTGAGTGACCTTGTGTGGGGGAGATTATTGTGTGTGTTGTGTTGGGTGGCTAGAAGTGTGAAAACTGTGTGCAATATGTGTGATGTACAGAAAAGAAAACAGATGGAGAAGGGCTGCGCCACAGAAAGAAGTACTAAAATATTGTCCCAGTAAAATACGATATACAAAATAGTCTCTGGGTAAAATAAATTAAATAAGTAAGTCCAGCTTTGGTTTCTTGGTTCTTTATACTTGTGAAGGGTCTGGGTCGTCTCACTCTCTGTATGTGGAAAAAGAAAAGACAGAGCGACCTGATATGCAATATGTCTGGGCTAGACAGACAACACTTAAGAAATTAAAATATTGCACTCACATGAACAAGAGCTATCACCAGCTCTAGTGAATATCGCATACAGTGGTATAATCCTCACTTATGGGATCTGATGGTCGTAGTCTTTCACAAGAGATGGTTATCTAGGTGCTCAGAGAAAGAGAGATAGCCACAGATAGTGCTCTCAGTAATATAATACAAGTAAAATAAAATAAAATATTCTACTTATTTTATTTTATGAGATATTCACTAGTGTTGGTTATAGCTCTTGTTCATGTGAGTGCAATGTTTTTATTTCCTGATAGTGCAATAAGTCCTGGCTAGTCGGACAACACGTAAGAAATAAAAATATTGCACTCACATGAACAAGAGCTATAACCAACTCTAGTGAATATCACATAAAATAAAATAAGCAGAATATTTTATTTTATTTTACTTGTATTATATTACTGAGAGCACTATCTGTGGCTATCTCTTTCTCTGAGCACCTAGATAACCATCTGTTGTGAAAGACTACGACCATCAGATCCCATAAGTGGGTGAACCACATATCCAAAATTCACCTAGATCCATTCAGTAGTTTGGAAGATACGGTTTAATGCAGATTCTGCAGAACATATACAAGCTATATGAAAAATAATTACTGTTAAATGTGTCCCCTGTTCTGTAGTTTAAAACTACTAAACGATGTCTTTGTGTACCAAATACCGGCAAGATAGCACCGCGTAGAAAAGTCAAAACAGTGTCTGTGAGTTAAAATGGCCGCCATCTATTGTTCTCACCATGTGCTTCATCCATTGTTCTCACCATGTGCCTCTGATACATGAAATGGTGGCCACCCAGTAACTCCACACTATTTCCCCAGATGGTTCTGAAAGGGCCAGCAGCAGCATAATAAAATACAGTATGCCCAAATCAGTTCCTTAAAGGGCAATACATCCCAGGGCCATAGTCGCAGGGCAGGAGGCTGGCAAACAGGCCCCTCCAAAAACCAGTGGCGAGGTCACTATCGCCACAGTTATTCTGAAGGGTTGAGAGGGATCCCCTTCTTAGGGTTGATGCCTTCCTTTACCCCTTTTTTTTTTTTTTAGCGCTGACCCTTTCTGTTTTTTATCAATATTTGTGATGTGTATGTCTTGGCTGATTGTGTAAGGTGGCGGTGTGTGTCTGTGCTAGATGTGTAGATTCTCAATGTTAGCTATGCTAGCCGTTCGGTTATTTTAGCCTTAAATTGAAATTCACTTTAAATTCCAGGCTTTCAGTTCACTTTAGTAAGAAAAACAACAAAAAACATGTTGTTATTATTATTCCATATATATAACGCCAACAGATTCCGTAGCACTTTACAATATTATAATGGGGGGGGGGGCTTTAACTATAAATAGGACAGTTACAAGAAAACTTACAGAAACGATAGTTTAAAGAGGACCCTACTCAAACGGGCTTACAGTCTATAGTTTTAGATGAAGAAGCCAGTGGCGTACATACCGGGGTCGCAGGGGTTGCGGCTGTGACTGGGCCCGGCCGCCCTGCGACCCGGTATGTACCCACTGTGGCTAGCCTCTTCTCCTGGGGGGCCCTGGTATCACAGGGCGGGCAGGCTGGCGGGCGCGTGAGGGAGCACTGTCCCCTGTGTGCTCCCTCTTCAGCTCCCTCGCAGACCGCACTGATACCGGAGCCGGAAGATGACAGTGCTCCCTCGCCTGGCCACCCAAGAGCCCAGCAGCACCACTGGACCCCAGGGAATCCCCTCAGCACTCCAAAAGGTAAGGAGGCTGGGGGATTAAATTTAAAAAAAAAATGTGTGTGATAGTGTTAGTGTGTGTGTTAGTGTGTGTTAGTGTTAGTATATTAGTGTGTGTGTGTTAGTGTTAGTGTCTGTTAGTGTGTGTGTCTGTTATTGAGTGTGTGTCTGCTAGTGAGTGTCAGTGAGTGTGTTACTGTGTGTCTGTTACTGAGTGTGTTTGTGTGTGTCTGTTAGTGAGTGTGTGTTTGTCAGTGAGAGTGTATGTTTTGTAAGTGAGTGTGTATGTATGTCTGTCGCTGAGTGTGTCTCTGTCAGTAAATTTGTGTGTCTGTTAGCTAGTGTGTATGCGTCTGTTCGTGAGAGTGTGTGTGTCTTCAGCACTTACCTTTCTCCAGCGCAGGACTCCCTTGGCGCTGGGGATCCCTCCGCCTCTCAGCTCCGAATGCGGCAAGAGCCGCGCACGCATTCAAATCGCCCATAGGAATGCATTATTCAATGCTTTCCTATGGACGTTCAGTGTCTTAGAATCGCGGAAGCTCCTCTAGCGGCTGAGACAGCCACTAGAGGCTGGATTAACCCTCAGTGAAACATAGCAGTTTCTCTGAAACTGCTATGTTTTCAGCTGCAGGGTTAAAACTAGAGGGACCTGGGCACCCAGACCACTTCATTGAGCTGATGTGATCTGGGTGTCTGTAGTGGTCCTTTAAGTGTGTGTGCATCTGCATGCACTGGCGTACATACCGCCCAGGTGCCCGCCGCCATGTGTTGCGGCCCCGGCCCGCGCATAGTAAGCGGGGGGGGGGATCAATTTTCGCCCCGGGGCCCCATGGGTCATATGTACGCCACTGGAAGAAGCCATTATTTGGAGACTGACAACTAAATATGTCCAGATTATTTGGACATTTTATTTTAATGAAACAACCAATACCTAACACTGGAGCTAATATCATGACTATTTGATACCTTATTACTAAACTCACTCCTTTTTGTGTTATAGAACTGGCTGGATCCCTCCAAGGAAATTAAAAAACAGATCAGAAGTGAGTGTGTGAGTCTCGCTGTATCTGCGTTTTAATTTTTATTTCTCCTCATTTTTTATTTGTTTTTACCTTATTGCTTTTTTTTTTACTTCCAGAGCTTCACAAATTCATCATACACTTTCTATCCCCATCACAAAACTTCACATTACTTCCTTACCCTTATTTTATTTCTCCACACTCAAACTCATGAGCCTGTTTTTCACTCCTTTCGTTACCCTCCCTCCCCTCCCCTCTGTCTCCCCATTTTCTTACCATACAGGTGGTCCCTGGACATTTGGTTTCACAGTAAAGTTTTATCCCCCGGATCCTGCTCAGCTCACCGAAGACATTACAAGGTACTTATTGGGATCCAAAGTGCTTGTGGGTGTAAAACAAGAACAGGGTGGGTTTGAGATGGTGTATATTTTGGATATATATATATAGTTATATTATGATATTATATACATATATATTGATCTGTGCCATTGGTGACATAGCTGTCACTTTCCAGCTCCCTCTTAGTATCACTTCGTTAGTGTGGAATGTGAAAAAAGCTGAAAATCTGTCTGTTGTAGTTATGGTGCTGGTGCAATTCCCTGGTTCCGTGTCAATCCATTTTAACTCCTAAATGGCAGATAATTGAGCAGTGAGACTGCCGAGGCTTGATCTATACACCAAAACAGCTTCATTAAGCTAAAGTTGTTTAGGTGACTATAGTGTTCCTTTAAAGCTGGTAGCAGAACTCCAACTCCATGAGAACTTTGATTTTCCTCCTGACGACACAAACAACTATGCCCTTAATTTAATAAGATTTTAAAAATAATTTAATAGTGTTAGTAAAAACTATTTATCTACAAATGATTTACCTACAAAATTCCCATAGACTTTTATGATGACTTTTGTAGGCCTAGAAAGAAAGGGCAGAAAAGGACCAGTAGATATGTATGTACAGGAACCAGGAAGGAAGTGTTTTAGAACGGAGGAGGTGGGGCAGAGGAGGCCGGGTTAACATGCAGAATACTGCAAAACATGTTTTTATGAATATACATAAATTATTCAAATTTGGACTTGAAAAAATATGGCTAATTATGATTAAAAAAAATACAGCTAATCATGTCTTTAGGCTAACATGAACCAATTTAATGCATGCTTTTTCCTGCAGGTATTACTTATGTCTGCAACTGAGAGCTGACATCATCAGTGGGCGACTTCCCTGCTCTTTTGTCACTCATGCCCTACTTGGGTCATACACAGTACAGGCTGAGCTCGGAGATTTTGACCCCGAGGAGAATCATGGAAACTACGTGAGTGAACTGCGCTTCTCCCCAAACCAAACACGAGAGCTGGAAGAGAGAGTGATGGAGCTCCACAAAACATACAGGTAACGAAGGACGAAGGGTTGGTGACACCATAGAGATAATGCAAAACTATTAATTCCACTTTATAAATGTGGCCAAGGTGGGGACAGTCCTTCTTTGCTGGAAAACGCCCCAGTTTATCTCTAACCATTCTTAAAAGTTTTGATATTAAATTAGTGGACAGTGCTAAGGAAGCTGTGTTGTTAAGTTTCTCATAGTTTCCCTTTAAACAACTTTCAGCTCTTTAGCTGCCAAAGAATACCACTCCCAATATGCAGGACTACTTCATCCAGTGCTCAAGGTTGGCATTTGCTTAAAATACAACATCATAAATGTTTCCCTATTAGGGGATAAGTGCTGGTTGTGTAATAATGAAAATATAGTAAGGTAGTTAAACCTTGAGGTAGCCAGTGTCTCCAAAAATGTTATTAATGGTTCCCAGTTCTATAGCTGTTTTAACATGGGTCTCATGAAACAGGTTAGCGTATAAATGGGGGTTTCTAGCCCTAAACCCAAGAGACCCAGGGGGACTTGCCAAATGGATACTTCTTGACATAATGTTCCTCGTCCTATGTGACAGGTGAATATTGTGTGAACTGAATGTTCCAGCATAGGTGGACTATACTGTAGTGTTTTTGTTATGGTGTCATGTACATGACTTAATCTAAGGGACAACGTACAAAGATTCATGATCTGTTTACTTATTAAGTCGGTCTGTTTTCTAAAATTGCTTCTCTGTCAGTGCATTTTGGAAGAACAGCTCTGGGATTCACATATACACTGAAATCTCACTTCACCGATAAATTACATGTTTCCTCTAAGCATTGTCTTCCTGTATGCATACAGTTGTATGGCTTTAAAACTCATTGCTTTCTAAAAATAGGTCATTTAACCATCCTCTAGCAGGGCATGTAGATGTGGGCAGCCGTAGCTGGCATTGATTTAATTATCATGCAGTCTGCAAGTGACTCACATTTACATTTTAATTCGAGACTGCCAGAATCTTACAGTCGCTGTTTATAAGCCTCTGATAACTCTTTACTCATCAGTAGGACCCCCGAGGGTGCATGAAGTGTTTTGAGTTGGTTGTCTGTAGCTCCCCTCTCCCCCCACGTATAGGATTTCAATCCATTCTGCTGTTTAAAAGCTGCTTCCTAATGCACTGTAGGCACTTGGAGATTCAGAAACGCACATATGCATACTAATATAGATTTTTCTTGTATTTATCTTTTTGCTATTTATTAGGAAATGTAACCCCTCACTGTGGAGAATAATATTTCTGGTTTATCCCCTCAACAAAATTGTCACTGATACCAAAGCACCCCAAACAGGTTTTCTGCCAGGACCAGGTGGAGATCAGGGAACCTTTGTAGTCTGACCTGATAAATGGTTAATTATTAATTTTACAGTAGTTCCTATCCCAGTAAGAGAACTGTGAAGCAAGTTGTTATTATTGTAAGGGGAGCTATTACAGGCATCTAAATATTTGCAAAAATTATGTCACTGATGCAGAAATGCAACTTCCACATTAACAATAGATAAACGGGTACCAGACCACAGACAATTCAAACGTAGATTCACCAAAGACCGGGATGGCACTGTAACCACAACAATGACACATGGCATGTAGCAGTTATGGTGCATTGACTGCACTTTTAACAATTATATTCCAAAAGAGATTATTGGTTGGTTATTCGTCCAGACTGTCCATCCCTTGAGGACCAACTAGCTCTAAACCAGTTTGCCCTAAATATGGAGCTGCCTCTCTTTGAGCTAAGCACAGGTGATTGCTATGAAAATTCCGTAGTGATGTCAATTTGTGATTCAGGAGCATCACTCATGTACGTATATGCAAAAGTGCAAAACAGACGTAAAGTAAAGATGATTGTTTTTTTTCCAACTGCACTGATCACGTGAAGCTCGATGTCTATGTGATGATGCATTATTCTTGGTTGATGCCTTCTGGGAACATTTCCATTATCTTTACTTGATTGATGAAGGAAGCAGTTGGCCACTACTCACCTAATAAAATGAATGACCTAATGTCTTGGTCTGTAAAAGCATTCTATGTAAATATTTAACTTTATAAGTAGAAGTGTGGCTGTGTTTTAAAAACCCAGCTATGATAACACAAGATAAACAAACTAAAAACTGGAAGATGTTTCTCTGCGTGTTTGTGACATTATGGATGGACACCAAGCTCAGGTGGTGCTCCCCGGAAGGGATATTAAAGTGACACATGGAGCAAAAGAGTTCTTCCATCACTGGATAGCATTGACTGTATTCCCTAGCATTATTAGTGCTAGTGATACAATGACTGTCACTTAGTGTGACTTGCAATAAAGTTTCAAAGTCTACATGTGCTTTGGAACCTTGATGGGTCCATCCCTATCTTTGTGTGTGACAGTCCCCATATACTTGTTTGAAACTTTAATATTTAGTGAGAAAATTTAAAATTTAATATCTTTGGATAAACTGTTCAAATTATTTAATATTTTAATATTATATATTTATTTATTTATAACCAGGGGGCTGCACTCACCTGAACATGCATAAATGGGGTGCTGCTTGGGGCCAATTTAAACAATATACAAGATCCAGCGCACTCACTTATCCACTAAACAGCAACTTCAATGATGACAGATTTTATTAGTTTTTTTGAAACACCTAATCTAGGCAAAAAATATAGGGGTTTAGTTACATTATATGATCATACATTGCATTGTATTGATGTTGTGGCAGGCTTATGCAATGTATGATCATATAATGTAACTAAACCCCCATATTTTTTGCCCAGATTAGGTGTTTTTAAAAAACTAATAAAGTCTGTCAGCATTGAAGTTGCTGTTTAGTGGATAAGTGAGTGCGCTGGATCTTGTGTATTGTATATATATATATATATATATATATATATATATCTTATATATTCGATATTTTTGTATGCTAAAAACAATAATTTTAAAAGTATATCCAAAAGTATTAAATAATTTCAAAAGCTTATCCAAAAATATTACTCTGAGGCTATATTTGGAGATTTTTTAACTCCAGCAGTTATTTTGGCATATATTTAGAATTTTATGTTACCAGTTTACCACAACTAGTTTAATGACTAAGCTACATTGTCTTCACAAAGGCACTCTGCTCAAATTAACTGGAAGATGTCACTCTGTCATAGGATTTGTAAGATGTGAATTTCTCATTGATAAAACCAGTTATTTTTTCCATCATCAAAGTGTACATTTTTAATTGAGCCTACCTTTGGTTATGATCTACATTACAAGTAAATATGTTTTTCTTCTTGAATGTATGCATGTCAAGGCACACAGTATGCAGAAGAACATATGACATACAGAAGCAAAAATACACTGGGTAACACACCATAAGCTGTTTTGGCCCATGGGCATATGTTGTGCTGGTTAGGCTTAGGGATAGTCACCTTCTTCTGCGGGTTGAGCCCTTTGATCCTGTTGACAGGTGGACAGGCATAATCTTCCACAAAATATGAGAGCTAGTCTTATTATACTGTATATAAAAGTGAAAAGAAAAAAGCCCTAAGGGTTCCAGAGGCGAACCTTTCCCTTCTTCTACCCACATCTCAATTGTTTAATTTAGCGTGCTTTACTTTTAAATTGGTACTTGACATCCTTATTGTGACGCTGCTATATAATGACGATATTGGATGTTTTTGTTTATTTCCTGGATGTTCATTTAATATAAAAATGATAAAATAAGTGCATGGCGAGCTACATGTGCGTAATAAAATGTATTAAATCAAAAACAATTTAAAAACCATTTATTTACTTGGTGTCAAAATTTCAAGTCCTGTTCTTACAGATAGGCTTGGAGTGTCCGTGGGTCCGTGGAGTGGGTTTCTACATGCCAAGGTGAAATTTTTACTCGCCTGGGCTAAATTATTTCTCACCCATGACTAGTGAGTGAGTGAAAATTTGGATACTTGCTTATATTATATACAGTAATTTGTGTATTATAGATAGTGACTTACTAAGTTCTCTACTGCATTATATGCAAGTTCTTGCATTGAGGTCACACTGTGTGGGATCAGTAGTTACAGATACTCTGTACTCTTTTACTCTTGCATTCAGTCCTACCAGATACACTCATTCATGTTACTGAATTAGACGTGGGATAATTGACTGATTGTGATACAGGAGGCTAAGTAGTTCCTAATTCACATACAAATACTGTGCAGATGGGCTGGCTGCTAACTTCACACTGTTTGCACTATTCAGTGTCATCAGATTGATGTCACTGCCCACTGCTTTAATGAGAAGTGGAGAGAACTTGTCAGAGACATATATCTTTATAATCATCTGGGTCACTTTTAGGTATTTTGACGCTCTTACAATGTTTTTTTTTTTTTAATTCATAGAAACCAAATTAAGGAAAAGGGTTAACCAGATGGGAAATTATTTAAAAATCTGTCATTACAGCGTGACAAGACTATCAAACAGGGCTGTTGTCTGGTGATGTGTTTTAAAATGTTGAAGATCATTTTACCATTAATAAGATGAATATATATGCAGACAGGATATGGTGTACATGAAAAGTGTAGGAATTTCAGTACAAATAGACTCTATATTCTTTGTACCAGCGCTCAAAGGTTCGGGAATAAATTCCCTGAGCTGATTTAAATAATGAGGAGGAATAATTTATACGTGATGGCTTCAATGGAGTCTTCATACAGTGAATATAATGGCTGAGAAACAGTTGTACCTGGTAACAATCTGTTCAGTAGGAGGAGGGGGTGGCTGGTAACATGAACATCAAAACACACAACTTTGGTACAAAATTCCAAAAATGAGCATCGAGGATATCGAGTCGAGGATATAGAGTTATCTAAAAGAAGTATGTTAAAATCTTTTCCAGATTTGGCAAGCTTAGCACTTTGGATATTTATTTAACACGAAAAACACGTAGGGCGTATGAATATACCAATTCATACCTTCATAATGCATTGGTGGGGTGCCCTCCCATTCTCTTGTAGAGTATTTTATGGATTTTGGGAGGGCAATGGTATTTAGAGGATGGTTGACTTGTTTAACCCCATAAGGACCAAACTTCTGGAATAAAAGGGAATCATGACATGTCACACATCCTGTCCTTAAGGGGTTAAAGGAGATCTGTCACGTCTCAGGATTTGGTATATTCTGTTTATGTATAACCTATATTTATAGAATATGTTTCTCCAAGGTCTGAAAACTGTAATTAAATGTAGAGATCCCTACTTTAATTAAATGTAGAGATCCACACTTATCCACAATTTTCTTGCTTGATGTATAGTGTAGTTGACCATGGCTATAAGTTTTCATAATTTCTCTGGAATTTCTACCACTAAATAAAACATTAAACATCGCTTATTGCTTGTGTTAGCCTTTTTTTTTTTTTTAAATGTGATTCTTCTTCTTTCATTTAAAAATTCTATATTAAAGATTTATCAGTTGGTATCACAGTCCAGTTTACTTGTGGCACAGACAGAGCACACATTGAAGGAAGAGAAACAGAACTGTTGTTTCTGTTTAATCTCCTCCAGCTATGCTCTCTCTATGCCTACTGACAGTTACAAATGACAGAGCTTATAACAATGATTGACAGTGAAGCCGAGATGGACAAACACATGGTATATAAGCGACAGTTCCCCTTTAAAATCTCTGTGTAGAATCCCAATCTATGAACTCACTGTCAGTTTGTGGCTATTTCTTGCCTTTATATCCCCCTTAAGGATACATAATGTAAATTTTCCATCATGATTGCCTTTTATTTATATGCCTTTTAACATCTTGGGTCGCAGGTTCGAATTCCGGCAGGGTTGACTCAGCCCTTCATCCTTCCAAGGTAAATAAAATGAGTACCATTAAATTGGGTAATAGTAACAACCCCTGGATGTTGGGCTAAGGTAACATCCCCAGGATGTACTTGAAAACCAGAGTAATCTGAATGTGCCTTTCCTGGTTAAATATTTTGTTATTATTATTATTATTATCTAACAGACTCCCTGCTACCTTTTGTTATACGCCCCATTATATTATTAACATTGTAATGCCATGTGCTATCTGAAGCTGCACTTGGTACAAACATTGTTATGATCACCAGATTTTAGGTTCTCTAATTTAATTGTATCAGTTTTTCTAAATATTTATTGTGTTGTCTTCAACCCTTAATGTGTATTAATGTACCAATTACAGAATGCTGAAGGGAATGTTTGTGCATTATACATAAAACAGGAAGAAACATATATATTAGTCCCTTTCAAGATTAAAGAGACACTCCACTGCCCAAATGCAAAAAAAATCAAATAAAAAAAAAAATCAATGTTTAGTAGAAATACCCCAAATGGAAACATGCATTTAATTATGCATTTTTTTCATTTGGGAACCATGAAAAACATTGCAAGCCCTCCCCTTCTAACATCGCCCTGACTTTCTGTGGTTGTCCAATTCCCAATACAGTTCACTGTTAATTTTGTTGACTAACAATATTAGCCAGATTTTAGTCGACTAAAACTAAAACAGTCCGGATGACTAAAATACGACTAAAACTAAAAAAAATATTTTTCTTTAAAGACTATGACTAAAACTAAAATTTTCCGCCAAAATTAACACAGACAGATAAGACACCTGGGAAAGGGAGGAGAGGACATGAGACACATGGGAGAGGGAGTAGAGGAAATGAGGGGCGGAGGGAATGAGACACATGGGGGCTGGGGGAGTAAGACACATGAGGGGGCTGGGGGAGTAAGACACATGAGGGGGCTGGGGGATCAAGACACATGGGGGGCTGGGGTAATAAGACACATGAGGGGGCTGGGAGAATGAGACACATCAGGGAACTGGGAGAAAGAGACGCATGAGACGGCTGGGGGAATGAGACACATAGAGGGACTGGGGGGGATATGATCACATGGAGGGGTTTGGGGAGAATGAGACACTTGGATGGGTTGGGAGAGGAATTGAGATATAGGGGTGGCTGGGGTGACACAAAGCGACATAGAGGGCTGGGGGAGAAGAGGCAAGGTGTTGGCGGGAAGAAAATGGGGCTATGGAGAGAGAGAGACAAAGAGGGTCTGAAAGGGGGATCAAAGAGCCGCAGAAGGGCTGGGGAACACAAAGAGACACAGAGTGGTTAAAGAAGGGGCAAAAGAGACAAACCAGGGCTTGGGAGAGAGACACCCAGAGGGCCTGGGGAGACATAAAGAGTCACAGAGGGGCTGGACAAGGGGCAAAAGAGGCAGATAGAGGCTTTAACTAAACTAATTAGATTTTTGTGTCGACTAAAACTAAAACAATTCAGATGACTAAAATACGACTAAAACTAAAATGGCTTTTTAGTCAAAAGACTATGACTAAAACTAAATTGGAATTTGCCACTAAAATTAACACTGATACAGCTCAATGGTAAGTCTTTGCAGGGCAGGTGATCTGGGCAATTGAGTTTAGCTCCACTGAGTTTACCAAACCAGATAGTAATAGGACCGGTTGCCCGGTTGTTTAATTTATAAAAGTGCCTATTTCTGTTGAAACCTGCACATTTTGTAAAATGAAAAAGAGGACACACTCTTCACACATAAAGCACTTCAGCAAGCTAAAGTACTTTAGGGGTCTAGCGGATCCCTTTAATTTACTGTTATCATACCCTACTGAAAATAGGTAGATATGTAATGAAAGAAAGATTCCTGGACACTTGGACACCTAAGCCTGCCTCATATAATGACTTATAATGCTGTATAGTATTAATTGATTGGAAACAATTAAACTGGAACTGTCATTCCTCAGACTTTGCAATACCCAATGGCTATCGCTGCACAATTTCTTTTCTTTTCTTTTTTTACATTTTCAGTAGTTTTATTTTGTGCATTTTTTATTTGCGTGGCATATCATCAAAAGTAAGTGAACCTCAGGGGTACCATGCATGCAAACAGCGCTGTTGAAGGAATGCCCAGGCGCACATGTGCTCGTTAGACATTTCACTGCCATCCGAGGCGTTAGGCAGCAGCACAGTCACCCTGAACATGAATGTACTGCAAAAGAATGTTTTGTATTTACCTACATAACTATTCACCCTGTAAATACTTCAATAGTGTTTACAGTGAAGAAATTAGGAATTATCACATCAAAAGGAGTGATAGCTCAGCAATAAAATAACTTTTGTATTGGAATATTTGCTTCTCCTCTATATCAATATCTGGTCTCAAATGTAGACTCAGTAGTTGTTGGCTTATCTTACAGATTAGGCATCGGTGCCCAAAGGTAGATCCCCAGATGTTTTAAAACAACAACTTACATTCTGCTTTGTCATTCTAAAGACGCAAAGCATCATGGAAGTTGTAGTTCTGCAACATCTGGGGATCTACCATTTGGAGACCCGTGCTGTAAGGGAATGTAAAGGTAGAAAAACAGAAAATGCAGGTTAATTGTTGGCCCTCTTCTCTTTTCTACCTTTATGCATTTTCATTTTATACTTTAAACATTAAATAAACTAGTTTTTGTAAATGCCCTACGGTTTGATTTTTATCTCCTCCATAGTTACTGCTTTCTTTCAACTCTTTGTTTCTGAGCTTGCATTATTTTCAGAGAATGTAGTTTTACTTGTTTTATCAAAAGTAGAGAACTAGGTGTTTCTATATAACATATGTAGATATCTAGTAACATATTGCATGTAAACACAGCAAGAAAGGATTGCGAAACATATTATTTATACACAGATGTAGAGACAACTGTAAGTATAATAATGTTTTCAGAATTAATAGAAAAGGGAGCGATATCATGAGCGTAAGACTGACCTAGAGAGTAGGAAATCAACAGAAAAAAAATACCTGTTCAAAACCAACTGGCGTAAAGTGGTGGTTAAACTTGGCACTGAGCAACTTGGCAAATGATCACAGATATTTATAATGATGGCATTAGGCCTATCTGGCATACACGATTAGAGGGTGAGGGGTCATGAGAGTAATAAAGAGTATGTCAGTAATTGTAGGCCAAAATAGACACAATGGGAACATTCTCCAATTCAGCTCTTTTTCCAACTTGGTTATTTTGTCTTGAAGAAACACTCCAGGCACCATAACCACAACAGCTCACTGTAGTTGTTTTAGAGCCAGGAGTACTGTGCCATCCCTCATGTACGCCGTCAAACCATTTTAGAGTGGCTTAGCTCATTGGCTGAGAGTGATCAGCTGATTATCTCAGTCAATGAACTGGCCCAGGGCTCAGCTCAGGGAGCCAACAGAAGGAGCAGGGGCTTCCGTCTTTCACCGTGATGTATGTGAGGAGGCAGACAGCGGCACCTTGCACACTCCAGGTAAGAAGTCAAAACATTCTAAAACAGTTTGACAACTTGGGGGCACCAGGGAACTCTTGGCACCATTGTCACCGTAGCATGCTATGGTGAATATGGTTCTTGGAAGGTTTCTTTAAATTTAGCATTTTTTCTACAATTTAGTACAATACCCGGTTTAGTGAGAATGTTTTTGTTTGTTACTTTTTTTTTTTTTCAAGATTGAAACATCAACATTTGGAAAAATGCACTGTGATACCTTTCAGAGTGATTTGTGTCACAGTGTGTCTGATCGTGCGTGCGAGGTGTCTGTTTCTGTCTGGCCATGTACGACAGATTGTTGATGTGTATGTGCTTGTGCTATAAATTGCACGAAGCCCACTGATGTATGGACAGTGGTTAAGCTCAAGAGATTTCAATCATTGTATGTATTTCATAGAGGGATCTTTGTCTGTGTAACAGGGGGATGACTCCAGCTGAAGCAGAGATTCACTTTTTAGAAAATGCCAAGAAGCTGTCGATGTATGGAGTGGATTTACACCATGCCAAGGTATAGAATGGAAAGTGGAGTTTCAGGATTCTTACCTTACACTCTTTCACCATGTTCTTATCATATGTATTGATACCCTTTCTTCACCTGTGCCTCAAACACTCGGCTCTCACTGATTTACTTGGTCTATTGCGACATTTCTGTGTATGTCTTGGCTTACAGTACTGATTCTGTTAGATCACTTTTACACATCCATATTTAATCTCCATTCCCTCCCAACTTATACGTCTTGACTGGTAACAACGTTTCATCAACAGGACTCTGAAGGCATTGATATAATGCTGGGTGTCTGTGCCAATGGACTATTAATCTACAGAGACCGTCTGAGGATAAATCGCTTTGCATGGCCAAAGATCCTAAAGATTTCTTACAAGAGGAGCAATTTCTACATCAAGATCCGACCGGGAGAGGTGAGAAACAAGGATGGAATGTTAGCCAATACTGTAGGAGGCCATCAGATATTCCAAATGCCAGATTTCTTAAATAATGTTTGATGACTGATTATTTTTTTGTTTCTCATTTATGCTGTAAGGGTCTTGCTCTCTCTTGTTTCAGTATGAGCAATTTGAGAGCACCATCGGGTTCAAGTTACCAAATCACAGAGCAGCAAAGCGTCTATGGAAGGTCTGCATAGAACATCACACCTTCTTTAGGTGGGTATGGTAAGCACGATGCAATGCTTCTGGGAGGCTGCTATGTTCAGATTAGTTATAACATAAAGGGCAGCAAGTCATTATGCAGCAATAGAGCTATATTGAGAATCATCATAATTATAATGAGGCGTCAGGCTGGAGATCTAAATAGAATAGAATCAGCACAGAGGTGTAGTGAAAGCGGAGAGGTTTATTTGTGCGTAAATATATAATTACTTTGTCATAGAAAAGGATGAGTTAAAGACAGTTTGAATTTGCTATCAGTTTAGATTGAATAGAAAATGCAAAAATGTGTTTAGGAGTCAATTTCAGATTAACTATTTGACTATCTTCACTGTCTTTTCTACCTAAAGGCTTGTCTCGCCAGAGCCTGCCCCAAAGGGTTTTCTAGTGATGGGTTCCAAATTCCGGTACAGTGGTCGTACGCAGGCACAAACACAGCAGGCAAGTGCCCTAATAGACCGGCCGGCTCCCAACTTTAAACGCTCTGCCAGCAAACGGTACACGCTGTCCCAGAGCCACGAAGGAGGTATGTAAGGGGCATAGGTAATTGTGTGACGGTGTGTGTTGGCTGGATAATTTTTGTCAATTTAACTTGTCTGAAATGTTTGGAGTTTGGCATTTTCTTCCACCATATTTGTTTGATCAGTATGTGTCTGGTACAACTTTGAAGTATTCATTGAGCACTAAGGGGGTTATGTAGAAAATATGTCCTGTTCTAAAATGTGGTCTAAAGTGGTAAAAGCGGGGCAGTCACCAAGGAAACCCATGGTACCATCAGGTACATTGCGTTGGTGACTCCACCTCTATTCCATATTTGCACCACTTTGATAACATGACAGTTTTTATACATAAGTCTCTATGTATCCAAGAGAACTGAAATAGCTTTGAGAAAATAGATATTTATTACAGTTTTAATTGTTTTTCCTGTGTCTTCTCTTCCCTATTATATCCTTTCCACACCTTTGTCTACAATGATTATGTATTTAATCTTGAGTTTTGGAGTGATGCTCTTGTATTTTTGTGTTGTGGGAATTAGGATATTAATATAGCTCAGTGTCGCCTATGTTGTTATGCTGACGACGGAACTTTGAACAAGTTACTGTGTATTAGTGTGGAACACAGCTCTAGGTGTTTAGGTTCTTTGTTTGTCCTACCACCTAGGGATGGGAGATATTACTATCAAAGCGGGGTCTTGACAAAATGGCAGAATGAGTTGTCCACCAACCTGCATTAATGTATCTTCCTTTTCTTACTGTATCTCTCACTGTCAGGATTCTCGCGACAAGCTGCTGTGAATGAGAACCATGAGTCGTCACCAGAGAAAAATCACGAAGGTTCTCGAAGAGAGAGGGAGGAGGACGAAGAAGAAGAGGTGACAACACCTACCAAAATCAAGGAACTAAAGGTGAGCAAGCACATGGTTTCACACTGGCGTTATTGGTAAGTGTCCCCCAGTCTGTTTGCAAATGCATAAATACAATGTGCCCATGTTTTGCATCTGCATGCACAATATATGTGTCTTTTAAATATGTGCATTTGAACACGTGTGTATTGTGTGTGTGATTGATGAACAGAAAACAAGTAGGGAAGTGTGGTAAAATATGTCCATCTATATCAACAGTGAAAGCATTCTATAAACTAAAGAGTCAATTATCTGGGGACCACTGCATTAGATAAATAATCCAGTTACATCTTCTGAAAATGTATTCATCTACTGCCATTCTTCAAATTCCCGGACACATACATCAGAGTTTCTCAGCCTAGGTCCTCAAACAACCAGAGTATGTAGGAACCCTTCATATACGCACAGGTCGTTCTATCAGAAGAACTGAGACACCAGTTGAATCTATGCATGTCTATGGAGAAACTAGTTATTTGATCAGGTATGGACCAAATCAGAGAAGTTCTACTTTAGAACAGGGAGACACATTCCAGTGAAGGATATTTACTTATAGGCCTTGAAGGATGCTCATGTTTGGGTTGTCCATAATATGGATATCTTTCCAAGAGTTCCATTGTAGATTGAATAGAAGGACATTTGCCCATAGCAGCATTTACAGCATTGTATCTCCTTAATCTCTCAGAGCCATAGTAACTTTACCATATTTAGGGCACCATGATCTTTGTTAAGAATGCACTTTAGTAAAACTGATTATTGTAGAACTCTAAAATCTGCAAAGGTTTGATGAAAGGTCAGTGTGTCTGTGTGCAATACCAGCTGCATAATTGCATATCTTTGTATCCACGTGTGCATGTTCTAATGCCTGTATTCATAGATAAAGCATATAGTCCATGTGTCCTTTTGTACAACCATTGCCCAAGTGCAAGTGAAAGCTGTTTTTGTTCTCAGGTAAAACCAGAATATGGAAAGTTAATCATAGTTCTACCTCAGTAACAGTAAATGGCTGTATAACTGTACTGCTTTAGCTAAGTGGTGGCTCTTGAGAACCAAAGATGCTAACACATGCTGTGTGCATTCCTTTTTATACCATTGTACATGTGTCTGTATGTGTTTCCCAGTGCCTGTTGATTTTTTTGTGAGGCAACTATTCCATTGGAAGTACAGTCAAATGTGCATGTCTAGCTGTTACTGAACTACAGTTCCCATAATCCTCTGCATAGATCCTTGCTATCATTGTAGCTAGCAGAATTTTATTGGAGTTGTAATCTAGTAACTTCTGAAGGTCCATATTAGCTTACCCTTTACTGCTCTGTGTCTTTAGTGTATGTGTTTATAGCTTTTCATCTTTATATACATTACTGTATGTCTATGCTCTCAACTCCCATGTGTACAGCCGTGTTTCTGTGCTGCATTTTCTCCCTCTCACTCGCTTGCTTCTGTTTCTTACTTATCGCTACCAGTCGGAACAAGAGAGCACTCCCCGGCACAAGGAGGTACCCAACTACTTAAACCAAAATCCATTTACCTTCCCGGCTCCCATCCACCTCTCCTATGATCCCTCTACTTAACCCAGCATCCAACTTCTTACCCAAATACCCACGGATGTGACCCAGTGCCTGCCACAGAACCATTAACCTATCCTACATATTATCCTGTATCCTGCCTGCCTACTTATCCCTGCTTCCAACAAGTGACCCAGTTATTCATCTGCCATTACCTGCCTGTTTTCCTGCCACTCTACCCCGCTGTTTACTCAACTAGTCAGAAAAATCTGCCCTAAATGATCCAGTAGCCTAAATTGATGATTATCCTTCATGTATTACCCAGCTGATAGATGACATAACACTCAAACCAAAAGGTTCCAGTAAAGATTTTATTTGGACATTGCCTGTAGGGATGGTGTTACGAGCCATGTAACTAAACAATATAAATAGTAAAATCCGCGTATTGCCCAGGTACACAAATAGTTTACCATAGAAAACAAGCCTCCTGCTTACTCATCTGCCACATCAGTAATCTAACTGTAAAGAAATTGAATTACATAAGCAGCTACAAGAAAATGCAGAACATCTATGTGATACCTGGGTACCGGGGAACACCTTTCAGTGGCACCTGGGTCTCCCAGGTAATGGTGGACAACTCCGCCCCCAGTGAATGATGGTTATTGGATTGCTTCACTGTAACTATAGCTTCATGTCACACAACATAACATAAGTTGGCAACACTACGGATATTGAGGTCAGTCCTAATAGCCAGAAGGTACAACATATCCATGGTAAAATTTAAACTGAGGGAACTTTATCTATTGGGTCGGGGACTTCGGGAGTGACATCACTTAGGGAACAGTTAATAATAAAAAAAAATTATAATCTAAATCATCAAAATGCTACACTAACACATGGGTCATTTTTAAAAGGGGAGAGGCCATTAGGTAATTGGTAAGTTGAGTAATGTAAATACGGTTAATCCACTGTTTTTATAAGCCTGAAATCTTATTGTAGTCTCCTGAAATTCTAGAATTAAATTAATATAACCAGCCAGTAAAAGGTACTGATACTGTGCTAATTGAATTATCCAAAGTATAGTTGTGTACAATAGTGTGATTATTATTCATGCCCTTTACAGATAAACTGTTCCCAGGCACATTAATAACCCAATAATACCATTCAAGCTAAGTAAGCACCACAGTAGGCCTCCATTCACAGTTATAGAGTAAGCTATTTAATTCACGATTGTCTAGTTCAGGGATAAAGTAGCACCCAAATTGTTCCATCCATGCTACTTCCAGGGGCTTCTTTGTGATGCCTCCATTATCTTCATAGACTAATGGTAGACATAGGGAAAAGTTCTAGGAATAACCAGTGATGATCACTTATGTATATAGTGTCTGTGAGGTACACATGCAATTTGCCAATGGGTATAGTGAGAACTATTACTTGTATAGGCCAGGAAAAATGATTATTTATAACCAGTTTTACAAACAAACCTGTGCAGATTCTATTGGCATTGTTTGGATATTATTACTGAATAGCTCTTCAAAAAAGCCCCAGAAGTTAAAATCAATCTCATATTTAAACTACAAACTGCAAATAATTTGATAACATTGCTCTGAATGTACTACATTCAAATGTCAGTGTTTCCAACATCTGCTTATTTACCCCTATTATGTTCAGCAAGTTATCCTAAGCAATCTGCCCTGAACTCAGCAATATATGTCCAACACAACACATCACTTTCTCCCACTTAGCATGTTAACAAGATGTAAGGTCCACAAACCCTGAGAGATCTGAAAGATTAAACACATTTTAGCACTAGAAGAAACCCTTCCACTGTCAAAAATCGTATCTTAAGGAATTGCAGGTGTGGCTCTGACTCCATGATTACATCTCTTCCTTAGTTCCTGGACAAGTCGGAAGATGTCCTGTTGAAGCACCAGGCCAGTATCAACGAACTGAAGAGAACTTTGAAACAACCAAACAGCAAACTGGTTCACAGAGAACGTGGAAGTCAAAAACGGCTTCCTTCCTCACCTACCTCCTCATCCCCCAAACCAGAGGTCAGTGGGTTTAACTGGCAATGCTTTGTCATTGCTTCCAGTAGTGAGCAAATATAATCCAATTTGTTTATTTGCTGTTTTTCTTAGTAAGGTTATTTACATCAGACGATTTGTACTTTAAAGGCATGTGTGTGTTTGTATAAAATACAAAAAACAGGCTGTGCCAAAAGGTGTGAACAGATAGAGTAATATAATAATAATATAAAAAAGTCCAAATATTCACGATCCAAATATCGCGATCCCAACTGTTTCTGGATTCTTGGGGAATGTTGGTTCTTGGTTAAGGTGCTTGTAAATATATGTAGTGAGACACCAAATGACAAATAGTAGTGCAGACTGTTTTGGCAGAAAAATAGGATTCACAACAGTAGTATATGAGTTAGTACTCACATGTTATGGAGCTTAAACTAGCTCTAAGTAAAATTGCTTGCAGTGGTACAATCCCCACTGATGGATTTAACTTTGAAGCAAATATATACATACACATATATCCGTACATATATTTACAAGCACCTTCACCAAGAACCAACATTCCCCAAGAATCCAGAACAGCCGGGATTGTGATATTTGGACTGTTAATATTTGGATTTTTTTATATTATTAATATATTATCTATTCACACCTTTTGGAGCAACCTCTTTTTTTGTATTTTATGCTTTCTATTTTAGGGTTTGAGGGTATCCCCTATACCCAGTGTTTGCTGCCTAAGTCTATGCAGTTGTTATCCATTTTTGTGTTTTCCTTTTATGTATGTGTTTGTGTTTGTGTGTGTGCATGTGAAATACACATGTTATAGTCAAAATGTTAGCCCAAATAGCCATGTAGTAAAACAATCTTCAGTTCAGTCTACTTAGCATTTGTATCCCAAATCTTCAAGCATTTTGTTAACTTCTTGTGGCATTCCCTTTAGAGAATTAACCCTTTATAGAAAGGCAGGATATTTATGACCCCAACATGCAAAACTTGGGCCAGTCTTGCTCAATACAAACAATAGGGCAGTAGAGTATTACCGGGCCTTAGAATGGCCAGACTTAACTTTTGCACAGGAAGAGAGTACACAGAAATGAGACAAGGTGAAAGGGATACCTGTACCTATGTATCTGTGCCATAATGTGCCAGCATTTGCAAGGGACAGAGTATGACATGTTCTGTGTTTATGTATCTGTGCCATAATGTAACAGCGTGTGTAAGGGACAGAGAATGGCATGTTCTGTGTTTATGTATCTGTGTCATAATGTGCCAGCGTGTGTAAAGGGCAGAATGTGGCATGTTCTGTGTCTATGTATCTGTGCCATAATGTGCCAGTGTGTGTAAAGGGCAGAGTATGGCATGTTCTGTGTCTATGTATCTGTGCCATAATGTACCAGCATGTGTAAGGGGCAGAGTATGGCATGTTCTGTGTCTATGTATCTGTGCCATAATGTGCCAGCGTGTGTAAGGGGGAGAGTATGGCATGTTCTGTGTCTATGTATCTGTGCCATAATGTGCCAGCGTGTGTAAAGGGCAGAGTATGGCATGTTCTGTGTCTATGTATCTGTGCCATAATGTACCAGCATGTGTAAGGGACAGAGTATGGCATGTTCTGTGTCTATGTATCTGTGCCATAATGTGCCAGCGTGTGTAAGGGACAGAGTATGGCATGTTCTGTGTCTATGTATCTGTGCCATAACGTACTAGCTTGTGTAAGGGGCAGAGTATGGCATGTTCTGTGTCTATGTATCTGTGCCATAATGTGCCAGCGTGTGTAAGGGGCAGAGTATTACATGTTCTGTGGCTATGTATCTGTGCCATAATGTGCCAACGTGTATAAGGGACAGAATATGGCATGTTCTGTTTCTATGAATCTGTGCTATAATGTGCCAGTGTGTGTAAAAGGCAGAGTATGGCATGTTCTGTGTCTATGTATCTGTGCCATAATGTGCCAGCGTGTGTAAAGGGCAGAGTATGGCATGTTCTGTGTCTATGTATCTGTGCCATAATGTACCAGCATGTGTAAGGGACAGAGTATGGCATGTTCTGTGTCTATGTATCTGTGCCATAATGTGCCAGCTTGTGTAAGGGACAGAGTATGGCATGTTCTGTGTCTATGTATCTGTGCCATAATGTACCAGCTTGTGTAAGGGGCAGAGTATGGCATGTTCTGTGTCTATGTATCTGTGCCATAAAGTGCCAGCGTGTGTAAGGGGCAGAGTATAACATGTTCTGTGGCTATGTATCTGTGCCATAATGTGCCAACGTGTATAAGGGACAGAATATGGCATGTTCTGTTTCTATGAATCTGTGCTATAATGTGCCAGTGTGTGTAAAAAGCAGAGTATGGCATGTTCTGTGTCTATGTATCTGTGCCATAATGTGCCAGCGTGTGTAAAGGGACAGAGTATGGCATGTTCTGTGTCTATGTATCTGACCCAGGATTATAGGATCTCTATCTATGTGTTGTATGTAAAAGGATGATGGGGATGTTCATACATAACTGTAAATGTCACATTGAATCTGTATTTCCAAGGAGACATATGTGCTCTTTTCCATGCACTGAACAACATGTCATTGTGTACATTGTATGTGCATGGAGAATGGCCACACATGTTTAACATGTATTTGTGAAGAAGAAAACGTGTCTGTGTGTGCATGTCTGCCTGTCTTCAATATCTGTCCCGTGGCGTACAATGAGTGTCTTTTCATTTGTCCATCTTCATACTTGCCATCATGTTTCCATTGTCTTGATTTTCATTCTCTTTGCTAATCCCTTCCCCCTCCCAATCTTTTGTCTTTTCGCAGGACGCAGACGACATGATTAGAGGAGAAGAGGAGGAGCCTGATGCAGCCAATGCCCAGGATTCAGATGTTTTCACCCAGAAAAGTGTGACTTCTTCTCCCGAGGTATCTCCACTCTCATTATTACCCTACCCGAGTTTCACAAGCTATTCGAGTAGCATCTCTTGGTGTACCTTTTATGTGAAGAGCAGGAGAACTATTCCCCAGGTAGTTCTCTTGGATGGTATCACTGCAACTACAATGCATCCAGTGCAATGTGCTGTATGTGCTGTGATTATTCCCTGACAAAGAAAAACACGGGCCATCGATGACACCAGTGTAATGGCGCGATAGGGGAGCTGCACACTGTGTTGGCAAGAGCTGTTATGCCTGCTCAGCAGGAAGGAAGGAGGTCAACATGCGACCTGGTAACATGGTGGCCAGGTAAGGGGTAAGTAAAACATGAAATAAACCGAAGCAACGCAATACACAATAATTTGCATAAGGAAATTTAACCTGCAAAAGTTACGCTGGCATTATTATTTATCTCTTAATTAAATACATCAAATAAAAATGTTTGCCCAAGCTTCTGGATTTTTTCCTGCGGTAAACTTGCTAAATCCCACGCCAACCTTTGTGCATTTATGCGCCATGTGACTGAGCGGAAGGCAAAGGAATCTGGACAGAAAGAATTAAAAGCGCACTAATAAACCAGCCCTCGATCTAAATCCACCATTTGATAGTAGATAGTCCTGGGTTATATAGCAACAGTAAAATTCAATAAAGAGGTTTTTCACACAGTTACTTATTAAAGTGCTTTTAGTGCATGTGCAGAGGGCACCATGGCTCTGAGCAGATCTAATAGAGAACGTCACACATTTCAAAACAGATCATAGGCAAAGCTGACACAATAAATACAGTACGAGATCCACCACACTTCTCTAGAAATTTAACATATTGATGGGCAGCACAGGAAATGTGCTATCCTGCAGTATGTAGTATTCAGGTGCTACAGGGTGAATTAATCATTCTGCAGTATATGAATTCTGTATACAGCAGGAAAATTAGAATTATTATGTTAGCTCTGATTGTGATCTGCCTTGAAGTGTGTGACTTTCCTCCATTAGATTCGCTCAGAGCTGCTATGCCACCTGCATATCTACTTGAATCACTTTAATGCGTAGCACTGTGGAACTCATCTCTATTGCATTTTACTGCAGCTATATAACACAGGATTAACTACTAACAAACTGTGGATTTAGAGAGAGCGCTGTTTTATCTACACTGAGAGGGACAAACCTGACAGTGGATCTGGTCTCTTCTTTCATCCTAGTTTTTAATTATCTGGGGATTTAATTTCTCCTACAGATACCAATCGGCATGCAAATTGGTATGTTTCAGCTTCTACGGGATTCTCTTATTTTTTGTGCAGCCATCTAAAGGCCTTTCTGGTAATGAGTTTTAATTATGTTAACTGTAAGGCAGAGCTGGCTACAAAATCAATCATGGTTGTACGCAATACGCAGGCCATCTTGTTTGATGCATCAATTCTACCATATCTAAGGGGTTAAGGAAGGAATGCGATTTCCTTATAAAATAGGTTAAAGGATCACTATAGGGTCAGGAACAAAAACATGTGTTCCTGACCCTATAGTGCTAAACACACCATTTAGATGGTTTGCCCCCCTTAGCCCCTCTATAAAAGTTTAAAACTCACCTTATTTCCAGTGCCGCGTGGGTCCGTCGGCGCTGGCTCTGCCCCCTTTGTGTCGTCATCAAAATGGCCGATTTTTAGCCAATCCAATGCTTTCCCATATGAAAAGCATTGGACTGGCTAAAATCGGCGTGGGGGCGGGGCCAAAGGCCGTTTTGGACACTCAGGACCTCCTTATAGAGATGCATTGAATCAATGCATCTCTATGAGGAAAATTCAGCGTCTCCATGCAGAGCATGGGGATGTTGAACGTCAGTGCTGCTTACTGTGCAGCCTTGAGCCAGGAAGCCCCTCCAGTGGCCATCTAAGGAGTGGCCACTTGGAGGTGTCCCTAGGAGCAATGTAAACACTGCCTTTTCTCTGAAAAGGCAGTGTTTACATGAAAATGCCTGGCGGGAGCTATTATACTCACCAGAACAACGACATTAAGCTGTAGTTGTTCTGGTGACTATAGTGTCCCTTTAACGAAGGATGCTATACCGATATCAAATAATATTAAAGTGAATTTCAAATTTAAGCCTAAAGTAGCCATACTGGAAGCATTTCTCCAGCTGGCAATTTTGATCTTAAATTTGAAACTCACCGTTGAATTCACTTTGAATTCTTATTTTTGTAAATAACCCTGGAAATGTTGTTAATGTGAGGAGGTGGCTTACATTACAGACCTCACTTAGCAATCGGGTTCCGTTCTTACTACTAGGTCGTAAAACGAATTGGTCGGTACGTGAGGATGGGCTAGGGAGCATGCGCAAGAGAGCATGTCTATGTTCAGGGTAATTCCCCTGAACATAGACCAGCTGACTAGCGCAGTGAAATCCACGAATCTAAGTTCTGGGAAAATTATGCCGAACATAGATTAGTTCACTAGCACAGGGAATTCCTGGAATCTCTACGCTAGAGAGCTGATCGGACGTCCGAGCAGTCGTAAAGCAGGTAGGTTGCAAAGTGAGGACTATCTGTATATAAGGAACAATCAGAGTACAGAGAAATATACCTTTATTGGCATCATACATTAAATGGCTATTACTAAATTTAATGTGGTCATGTATGGTGAAATAATAAACCTACCTGCTTTTGCCTTGATAGTCAGCATCAAGATTGGTATTTTTGGCCCATGTGCCGTAGCCCTAGCTATATGATAAATCCAAATACATTAAATAAGTCACTGACTTTATAATCAAACAGATAAATTACTAATTCCCATAAACCCAACACTCATCCAGATAACACTTTCTTTATTGACTTTCATTGATAAAGTGTCTGATTTTATTGGTAGGAGGTTCTTTAAATGTAACAAACTAATTTGTTGACTTTTGCACAAATCTTGTCACCTGCAGCAAACTGATCAAATTCCTCTTAATCCGCACCCGAACAAATAGACCTGTTTGGGATTTACGTGATGGATCAATTCATTTGGTCATAGATTAGCAGGTATTTGATTCGTTCGTTGTAGGTGAATAGGACGTGATGGATCAATTCATTTGGTCATAGATTAGCAGGTATTTGATTCGTTCGTTGTAGGTGAATAGGATTTGTGCAGAGTATAGGAGACCATGATTATGTGATAAACTTGCTTTTCAATGGTCATGGGCCTGCCATGTGCAAATTAGTTAGTAGTAGTAATTAGTAGTGTGCAAATTAACATGTAATCAAATCATTCTGATGGTGTATACCTAAACAATGTTCTATTAAGCAGTTTCAAATCCAGTTTTTTTCTGCTAAAATTGCTAAAAATGGTTTAGCCAAAAATCCATACCCTCAAAGCATCATCACCACTGCAATGAACTATAGTGGTTATGGTGGTTGTAGTGCTCTTTACGCAAAATACAAGCAAGGCATAGTAGCAAATATGTTTTTGTACCTTGACATTTTTAGGTTAAATGTGGTGACTTAGTAAATTGCCCTGTAAAACTTGATATATGGTTTTTATGGTTTGTTCCCCTTTTTCATATATAAAGTCCTGACCACATTAAGGTAAATTGCTGTAATAAAAATATCTGCAAAATGTATGTGCTGAGCACTTCAGTAACTGTAAAAAATATAACTGTTTTAATATATATATATTAGTGAAGTACCGTGGATGTAAAACAATAGGAGTTTGAGAGCTTTAACATTTTTAACCTTTGTATTTGATAAGTTCATCGCAAAATGTAACCCATTAATGCAATATATCTTACAGGGTTATTTACAAAGGTGGGAATTCAAGGTGAGTTTGATGTAAGGCCAGTGCAGCTGAACTGAAAGCATAGCTGACTTAGAGATTTTTCAAGTTTGGCTATTTTAACCTTATCTTTGAAATTCACTTTGAATTCTTACTTTAGCGAATAATCCTGTAAATTACCATTATAAATTTCTATTATGTACAATACTAGGATTCCCTGAACAATAATGTCTTTAGAGAACATTTAAAGGAACAGAGAGTAGGGGAAAGAGTGACAGGACGGGGAAGTGCGTTCCAGAGGGTAGGTGCTGCACGAGAGATGGAGAAGGAGATGGGATCGAAGGTAAGTAGTGATAGGTGCAGGAGAGATGGGGAGAGTTGGATCCCAACATAGCCACCATGTTTCTCACCTGACCTAGGGATATGGATAAGGTAGATGCCACCATGTTTCTCACCTGACCTAGGGGCATGGATAAGGTAGAGGCCACCATGTGTGAGAGCAGCAGGAATCAATGTCAGAAGATGACAGCCAGCTTTCAATATTTGCTAAAAGGATGAAACAAATATATCATGGACGGATGTGAGTTCATTACACATGGAGCAGGCGTTCCAGAGAGCACAAGAAAAGGCAGGGCATAAGTGCTACGGCTTACTGGAAATGAGACTATCAGCATTGTGTGTCCTAGGATTTTTACTGTGGAAGATGAAACTGGAATGTGAAAGTATGGGAAGAGCTACGGGGCCAGCGTTAGAGGAGATGTTACCAGCAGCCGCAAGATGTAGTAGGATTGTGAGCAAAGGTGATAACGAGACTTGTATTAGTGGGTATGACTGGAGGTAGGTGTATTAGAAGGGGATAATGTAGAACCATGGCTGAGAGATAATATTAGATGATATTAAGATCTTCTTATTGTCCCTTTTTGTTATTGTGCTGTAGAAACATGATGTCTATCATATAAGGCTTATAGTACACTTTCCACATTTTTCTAAACTAGTGGTTCCTAATCCAATCCTCCAGGGACAACAGTGGTCCAGATTTTTTCAGTATCCCCGTAGGAGTGGAATTAGACTCTTGGTGTGTCTTAAGGACAATGGCCTTAATTTCATACTTTTAGATAAGCTTTTTTTAAATTATTTAATATTTTTAGATAAACTTTTAAAATACATTTTCAAAATATTAAAATATTTTAATAAAAAACCTATATATAAACATATCAAAAACATTCACATATTTTTCAGTATATAAAATTATTTGAAAAGTTTATCCAAAAACAATAAATCATTTTAAAAGCTTATACAAAAATATTAAATTGAGGCCTAAGTTAAGAACCACCAGTATGAACGACTTTATCTGTCAAAGCTATTTACTAGACTTTGGCTTGGTTTGATTTAAAAGGCTAAGAGAGTTTTGTGGTTACTTAATATTTTCTTATGAGTTAGTTTTTTAAGGACATACAATCTAACTGCATGATTATAATCCACAACTTAATCTAAGATGAAAATCTGTTCCACTGACGACTCTCTTCTGTCCTATTATTGTTGCCATTGCAACATTCAAATAATTTTTCTTTTACATGTGCAGTACTTCACTATATATAGCTTATATTTTTCTTTTGTTATGTGCTCCCCGTTGTCTTTTTCAGTAATGGTAATTAAAGTGCTACACTAGATAATAATGTTCTAGCATTTAAGTGTCATTACAGTATAATGTATTCATTAGTAGGTTCTAACACTGTGTATTGTTAGATTATAGTATTATCATAGGGTGCAGTATGTTTTTAATCTTATCAGCACGTAATGTTTAATTTGTGCAATTGACTAATATATACATATTTTCTGAAAAACTTTCAAAAGAGGTGGAAGTGCTTAATTTAACAAACATGCTTGCTCTCCTTATACACATACCTCTAACTCCTCTTGCTCCGGTTAAAATGCAGGGTATGGAGCATTGGGTTATTATAGAAAAGTCGTCAGACAGTGCTCAGGCATCTTTTGGAGAAGTTGGAAAAAAAGAGAATGTGCTTGCAGGAGCAGACTTGTCTCTCAAAGGTGAGGAGCTGTCCCAAATACAAGAACATCTACCCTGGGATAGAGAAGAGACTGTACAAGAGGAGAGGGGGGCAGATAAATTTGTACACTCAACAAAAGGGGTGGCAAGAAGAATCAGGCTAACACAGAGAGAGGAACGTTTGGTGATGGTGACAAGTGAGTTGGATGATGTGGATGGTGTAGAGAACAAGGCAAGAACCGCTCCTGACGGTGCACCATCTGAGAATGGCAGAGATTGGGCAATCATTGTGGAAAAGACAGATCCAAGCATTGCTTGGATACCTGGAGAAAAATCTGAGAAAAGAGAGGAGAAGGCTATAAAAGGAGTAGAGATGACCTCTTCAAAAAGAGATAGAAGAGGTGGAGCATCAGACAAAGCCCAGGGCATTTCTTGTACGTTTGTGGAACATGTGGAAAGCAGGCGTGTTATTGTGTGTGAGGAGGAAACTGATGACAGTGCTGAGGAACTGGAGAAAGAATATTCTATTGGAAGCAGTTGGAATGATCAGGAAAGGTCATTGGTTTGGCTTGAAAGTTCTGGTTACCAAGAGCTTAGTGGAGAAGTTAAACAGGACAACAGAGATGGTTCTGCAAAGTCTCATCAACATGGTGAAGAGATACATTTTAAGGAATTAAACAGAAGAGAAAATGCTGGGAGCCTCTCAGGACATGCAACATCTTCTTTACTAAATGGAAGAAAAGAGGTAAATCAAGAATATGTTACCACTGATTTGTTAATGGCAGATTTGCATTCAGAAGAGGCAAGAGAAGAGAACCAAGTGACAAGTATGAACAGAAGAGAAGAGTTGGAAGCTTCTGCACCGAGGAATGAACCGTTGTCTTCGGGTGTTGAAGTTACTGTAGAAAGAGGTACAGATGAAACACCATTTGAAGACTGGGGTCCACCAGTGCTTCATTTTATGTTGCCCACCATCATACCACTGCCTGTGTCCATGCCTAGGGATCGAGGTCACCAAGAAGCACCAAGGTCTCCAGTCACAAACCCAACTGAGAGGATCCTCCTTCAACCTAACCCAAGATCTCCTTCAGTACCTTACCAAGGAGGAGATAACAGCCCTGTGGAGTCCACGACTGATACCCCTGGGGATCTCTCTTCTCCAGATTCTGGATGTGAAATCACACTGACAGATGCGGCGGTAACTTTGCTTAGCTCAGAACAGCATGTATGTGGAGGGGGAGGGGGAGGGAAGACACAGATCTTGCTTAGCGTGGACATGTTGTGATTTGGCCAGCACGTCGGGCCCCTGTATGTGTAAGAAGAGGCATGGTGTCATGGTGGGAGTGGTCTACCTGTATGTGTCAACTCTCCCACCATCTGCTTCTGGCTGGGTCACCTTCTGGCTAAAAAATGTTCAAACATTTACTGCGAAACGCATGGAAGCAAGAGAGGAGACGGGAGGGAGAATGGGTGGAGGCATAAAGGAAGGGTTGCAGTCACAGCTGCTTCTAACATAGGCCTGGGAACACACAAAAATCAATTATTCCCACTCCAGGAATCAGGCGTATCCAATGACATAACAGTGGTTCATTGGTTATATCAGCTGTCTATTAACCCCGTCTTGGAAAGAATTGCCTGGCTGCTACCTAGCAGGTCTTTGCCCGTGCTAACAAAAATGAGTAGCTTGAAAATCCTGGAGTTGCACTTTTAGCATCATAGCAAGGAATGGGCTACTAATCTCCATCCCACCTCCTCCCCACTCCCTGCACTGAGGCCGCTTATTCCTTGCTTTTGTGCTGCTCATGTAGGCCCTAATTCACCAGGCTGTGTTAAGGTGAGCATCGTAAAAAACAATATTGGACATATCTTCATATTTATTGCTTGTGATGCTGCTAAACAGACAGGTAAAGTAGGATAGTTTAATATCTTCCATTCTATATTTTTTTTTCCTGCATAATCATTTGTCTTCCATTCTATTTTTATCACATTGCTTTTGCACAGGGGTGGCCAAAGGGCAACCGTCCCTTCCCAGTTGTTGTAGAGCTACAGCATTATACCAGCAAAGAATCTAATGAGTTTTACTCTAGAACAGCGGATGGTTTCCATTTGGTCATCCATGTGTTAGCTCCATCTTTTCTTCTCCTCTCTGTTTCTGGTACCTGTCCTCTCAATTTTCAGTTTGTAAGCCTCATGGAAGTACTAGCAGCCTATACTCTAAGTACCGTAGTATTGCCTTAACACAGCTTAGTGAATCCAGGCCAACTTTAGCCTCGCTTTGATTGCGTCCTGCTCAGCATTGGTCTCATGCATCCCGCCACGGGGCATTGCTGTCTTTCCTTAGGGATTCCCTCACTCTAATCCTTCTCTCCCGCTCTAGTGTCAACCCCTCGAACCAACAGCCTGGGAGGAAAGGGATATCCCGTCCGCCCTCAGAGAAGTCTCCCTACCGGACCAGGGTTTTAGGAAAGCCGGGACAGTCTTTTATCAGGTCGGGGCCCTTGTTAGCCCTGATAATACTCTTATCCCCAGTATTATGCTAATAATACGATGTATGCCTTTGTATGTGCAGATAAATATGTTTGTTTGTCTATGCAGAATATTTTGTCTCTGTATGTAAAGTGTTCAACTCAGACATGAAACACCTTACATACACCTTTGCTTTGGCCACCTACTTGTATACAGTGGAGTTTTGTAGTTACAGAGCACATAGATATTATTAAAACATGCAGAGACTTCTGGAGAATTCATGTCACTTCTACGACTTTTAAGTCACTTATGGAAACCAGCATAAAGATTCAACATACTAAAACGGTTTCATCTCTGGTGGATCTTATCTCATTTGATTTACTATACCTCAATACTTCACATGCTGCTGAAATTAGCAGAACATAAATGGGGTACTATCTACCTAGGACAGACTAGGACTGTCTTTAAAATTATTATAGTTTGGGCCATCACATTGCATTCCCGTGACTGCTAAAAACTTAAAGATGATTTCTCCAATAGCTTAGTTTCATTGTCCTTTAAATGTAGAGCTGGTTGTGTTGTCCCGTCTATGCATCTCTTTAATTGGTCTGTGTCAATAAGAAAAATAAAAGATAACGCTGTTTGCTCCAGTCACTTTCTGATAGTCCCTTGTCTGTTAAAACACTTCAGAGTTTGGTTAATTAGTAAGAAAAAGTCATGATTCAAATAGGAGTCTTTGTTCCTCCCCATCTTTGAGTCTCTGTCACCGATTACCTTCCCATCGATGGCTCTTTCAATTTCCTTAGAGAGTGAGCAGCAGGGAAGCAGAGGAAGCACGAGGAGCTGGAGATGAGGAACAAAACACTGGTCTGCTGAAGGAGAACCAACTGAGTATTGAAAGGAAATGTTCCAGCATTACTGTCAGCTCAACATCCAGTCTGGAGGCTGAGGTGGACTTCACAGTTATTGGTGATTACCATTCCAACGTAGGATTTGAGGACTTCACCCGCAGCTTGCCAGAGTTGCATCGAGACCAGGGAGACGGGGCAGGAGGCCCTGCAGAAAATAATCCAGCAGTAGAACCCCAAGAGACTCATGATGAGGATAGTGAGGATCAATCTGAGGTACAAGATTAGAGCATAGGGGTGTTTGTCAGGAACTACCCTATGTTCTTTGTAAATAACATGGGGCAATGTTTACCTGGCATCCCCAGTGTTATGATTGCATGGAACATTTACAAAGAAAAGAGGTGTTGCATGCCTCATCACTTTCCCATTAATTTCCGATTTACCATCAGCATTGATCGTCATGTTTCTATTCATGCAATATGGCGTTTCCAAGTGGTCTTTTCACAATGCATGATCCAGTCTTCCTAATCTTGATTTGACAGCATGATGCGCATGTTAGTGTCATTGCATGACATCACCTGGTAGAACTCATATCATATGTGCTAGCATTTCCTGTCAGGTATGACATCATACTCAGTCATCTACCATTCAATGTTTTACACCGATATTGTGCATGTTACGTTGTGTCGTTTGTACTGCTGTATGTGTTCTAACTTCCACTGTGACCACTTCCAACTTTAATGATTTTTCAACTATATGACTAAGTTCTCTCTTTATTAAGGCATGTCTACAGAGAGCGCAGAAAGGGGTCTTGAGATCTGAAAGCAGCTCAAGTCGGACAGAGATACCCGGCATAGTGCACACGCAAGTTATTACCGTTCAAACCACCCAGGTAATTCACTTAAGAGTTCTCTCTAAACGTTCTTCCTGCCTGCTCTCTGTGTGCTTGTCAGTTTCTGTGTATATGTTTTTATAACTTTCTAATCTGTGTCTCTAGATGTTATGTCATTTTATGCTGATTGCAACAAACTCTGCTAGGTAGTAACAGAGAGAAGATGTTTAAAAAGAATAAGCTTAAAATAATAGGAATGCTAGATCCACTTTTAAAAGCAAAAAAAAGAGCAAATCCAGGGGATGTTTTTAAGAATATTAGCAGTAATAGTAGTATTAGTCTTATTACATACACAGAAAATTAGGAAAACAAGTTTTCTGACACATACATTTATAAAGTTAAGATCCATTGTTGTGAAAATGTGGATTCAAGCAAGTTTGCTAATAATTAACCCCTTAAGGACACATGACATGTGTGACATGTCATGATTCCCTTTTATTCCAGAAGTTTGGTCCTTAAGTTGTTAAATAGTACGTAAAATTGTGTAGATTTTGTCAAGAAAGGATAAACATAGTCAGATAAACTTTGGTACTACCTGGCATTCCCAAGATGCTTATTGGTTGTAAGTGGTATAATATCTGCAAAGAAAACATTCTCTAGACAAGACCACTCGTTCATCTCCAACTTGTAGACATGTGGCTTTTGCTAAAGTCTCACCCTATCTTAGTTTTATTGTGACAGAAATCAAGACTCATCAGACAAAGTTAAGTAATTCCAGTTTTCATCCAATTTTGGTGATCATGTGCCCATCATAATCCTACTCTTTTTTCTTAGTGACAGGAGAGGACTCGATGTGGTCTTCTGCTACTATTGGAGATCTGCTTCATGGTTCTTAAAGCCTTGATTTTAATGATGTCCTTATATACCATTCTGTTGTAAACAGTGGCTATTTAAATGTTTCTTTGGCTTTTCTGTGAACTTGAAATTAAGAGCCTTCACATTATCCCGTAACCTTTCTTAAAATAAATGGACTTTAGTGCACTATTTCTCAGTGGTGGTGGGTCATACACAATTTACTTTTGAATGGACTGTCAAGGAGTTTTGGGGTTTTCCTTACTCCTCAGTGACGGACCATTTTGTAAACTAAAATATGGCAGTAATTAAAATCCCAGGAGGTCAGCCGTTTCTGAGATGATGGACCCACGTTTTTTTGTCTCCAGTAATCAATCATTGTCAAAGTAACTTCGATAACGTTCCCTGGTTCTTTGAGGAGGCTGTGTTTAATATAAAATGTCCTAATTCAAATTGCAAAGATAAAATCTTAAATAGCGATCCAAATTCAACAATCTGATACATGCGCCATCTAATACAGTTTTACATAACCATATCAAAAAATATACAAACAGAAGAAGCAGAGAATGGGAGGAGAAGGGGAGGGGGAAATAGGGGGCCCCATGTCCAGAGAATGTTTGCAACCAGAAAATCAGTGTGAATACATGTAGTTTTATGTGCCAGTTTAAATAAAAGCTTCCCAGAAATACAGTAATTGCTCTCAGTAATAACACTCATGAGCAAGAGTCAAAATGACAAAATGTAAATGTGTGTTAATTAGAGCTGTCATAAAATGGAGCAGCTGGCAGTTGAAAATGGAGTGATAAACAGGCAGCTAACCAAAATGTGTGAGGGCACCACCGCACATGACAGTGCAGGTGATACAGGTTATTTTACATTAGTCCCTTCCAGTTAAAGGGACACTATAGTCACCAGAATCATTACAGCTTAATGTAGTGGTTCTGGTGTCTATAGCCTGTCCCTGCAGTGTTAGCACTGTAAGCACTGCCTTTTCAGAGAAAAAGAAAGATAAACTAAGCGTGATTGGCGGAGGTACCCAGGCAGGGTATCAGGCAGTCCGCCACACACTATATTCATAATTCATAATAGTTTAATGAAGCAGTTTTGGTGTATAGATTATGCCTCAGAAGGTTCACTGGCCATTTAGGAGTTAAATCACTTTTGTTTCTGTCCATGCAACCCTAGCTACACCTCCCCTGGCTGTAACTGACACAGCCTGCATAAAAACAAAATGGTTTCATTTTTCATCACATGTAACTTATTTTAAAAGTTTTTATCTTAAATAAAGATTTGACCCCAATGTAAAGATTATGTGCCAAACCTTTATCATGAGATAAATAGTGCCCCCAAGTGTACACTAAGAGCAATTACACAGAACTCTCCACAGTTTCTCTTCTCCTGTTTTGTCCCACTTACCTTTGCTTCATTAAACCTGTTCTCTTCTACAGGTGGGAGATACGGATCCTGTTGTCAGCACTCAGATCACAACGACAGAGACTGTAACACTTGCTCAGGTTGGCATCCCATCACTGTTCTAATGAACCTTATTGTTTCTACTTGATCTGAATAAGCTGGGGAAATCTAATTTGAGCTCCCTAGTGTTGTTAGTTCTGGTTATAAACCATTGTTACCATTGAAACAAGCACATTGGCCTACTTGGCTCTTTGATATTACCATATACGGTTATCTTTTTTTAAAATTATTTGTTAGCCTTATCAGCCTTTTCAACTTGTTTTAATGTTACTGTTTTTTATGCACCATTTGATACCTTTGTGTTCTCATGTGAATTAGTGTGGTTTACCATCCCTCAGAAACTACAGGCCATACTGCACCCTAAAATAAAAGCATAGTCACAAGCTTTAATATTAAATTGGAGGCTATAAGACAGCCTTATAACCACATTCAGTCTTATATCACTCAGTTTTGTCAAGGACAAAATTCTCAGTGTATGCTTGAATGGAATTTCAACATCTTCATTCATTTACTTAAAATAAAATCAATGATTAATTAACTTAGGGATCGTCGATGGCAAAGTAACAATTCAAAGAGTTGTGGTTTTTCTGTTTTTTTTTTTGTTTGTTTTTTAACACTGGATTTTATTTTGTAGTTCATCTCCTGACCGGTTTTTAATGCTATGAATTATTTAATTGCCAGCTTCATTAGACTATTAGTATAAAGTAAAATATATCAATTAGTAAACCTACCATGGGTTGTTTGATGATAAACAAATGGCTAATGCACAGTGATGGCCCATCAGAGACCTTTAGCAAATATTATATTCTACGGTCAAATATGGCATTTTTACTACTGGGATTACAAGTTAAATAAATTGACTAGCTTACTGTATTCGTAACATGTGTGACTTACTTTTAAAATGTACCCGCCACATTCCCAGATGATACCTAACTGGGTGCCTTTGAGTTGTTTGCGTCACTTTTTCTTTCCACCTTTCCCTTTAATTGGTAGCCAATATGTCCTGGGGCTTCTGAAGGAGGAGGAAGGGGGATCAAGATTTATGCTACAGTGATATTTTGCCGCAGTCCACTCAAACAAGTTATTTTTTTTGCTGGTTAATAAAACATTCTGTAAAGTGTGTCAATTGCCTTCAGACCTTTTCCTTCTTATGTCATCCAGCCTGAGGACTTTAGTACGGAAACAGAAAGTGCAGAACAAGTCCAGGCAGTAACAACTGTAGAAAACACGCAGGGGACACAAGCAGACGCCACGCGCACCCAACATGTACGTTTTTGAAATCTCACCAAGCAGCCTAAAGCCATCACTTTCTGAAATTGCTTTTTAATTGCATTGTATTCAACTTTTTGTGTTTATGTATTTTCTCTGCCTTACTCTTTTTTAACATCTTATTCTTCAGGCTGCCCACGGAGCAAGTGTCACCCATGCGGCCACCGCGGAAACACTATCCTCTTCAACAACTACCCACGTCACCAAGGTAAGAATGGCATCTGATATGCTTTAGTGTTTAAACAAAAATATCATAAAGGTCACCCTCCAGTGGCCGACAGTGTATGTCCATCCACCAGCGTACTATTTTAAATACAAATCCATGATGGCTGGCCAGTTGGACCAATGGACCACGTCCATTGGATGGTATGGGATCCACACATGTGTCTTTTAACGGTTTGGAGAGTCTCACTATTAACGTTTGCTTTGCAGCAGGTTGCAAGCATTTGTACCAATACATGAAATGGCTTATTGGTGTAATCTACCGTCTATCCTTTCCCTGAGAGGTCAACAGCCTTCTCTTTGCTGCATAGTTCATCACATTATACTTTAGAATCACTTGCTCAAGCAAAGACAACATTTGTCTCAGTATATCTTTTGACTGGGTTGGAATGTCTTTGAAATTCCGTTTTAACCATCAGTTAGTCCCTCTGGTTTTCCCTGCTTCTGTGAAGGAGGGGAGATCATAGAGACTGTTGGATTTCAAACACTATCTGACCCAAGGTGCGTGTATATGGCTGAAGGATCCTGTCATATACTAAAGGTAGAGATGAGTTTTTCTATTTTTAAAAAAAATGTTTTTACATAAACTTTATTTAAAAAAAACAAAAACATTTCCTTACAATACGTTATAAAAGGATTATTATATTACAAAGTAGTTATGAGGTTACAGTTGCCCTATAAATGTTCCATGTTCTATATTAATAATGGCTGCTGGATTTAGTTGGGTGGTTTGTGATTGTTCCAGGCTTATCTTACCTTTTTATTCCCTACTCCCCATTTCCACTATGTATCTGTGCAGACTGTCAAAGGCGGGTTCTCTGAGACTCGGATAGAGAAAAGGATAATCATTACTGGCGATGAAGATGTAGACCAAGAGCAGGTAATTGCGTCATATATCTTAAATTAAATTAACTAAATTCAATAGACGAGAGCAGCACAAAAATCTGTCATATCGCCAGCCTCTATAACTAGAGATCACTAGATAACAAGCATTTTTTATATAAATACATTAGAAGATTAATACTGAGAAGAGAAAATGAAAGTATGATTGGACGGATCCGAGGCAAGTGCCAAATTCATTCCAGAAGAGACATAAAGACCATCAACCAGCAATTAAAATAAACTATATATCGCCAACAGATTCCACAGCATGGTACAATAGTCAAACAAGACAAACACTTAATTTAAAAAAAACATGATTGACCTAGTGGAATAGTAGGTGAAGAATTGCCCTATCCAAACAAGCTCCTAAAATATAGTGAGAATAGCTTGGAATTAAAAGTGGAATTTACAGTGAACTTCAAATTTAAAGCCAAGATAGCCAAGCTGAAAAGAAAATTGACTTGGAAATGCTTTCTAATTTGGCATAAATTTCGAGATTCACTTTAAATTCTCAGCCATTCTTACTCTAGTGAACAACCATGTAAGTGTCTTGATTCACCCGATTCAAATGTATTGTCATAGGTGATGATATATAAATATTTTATATTTCTAACACTAAAATGAATTCACATTAAAATACACAAAAATAAGTCCTGCGCCCAGACTCCCACTATTCCTGGGTGGCAACAATGACCATAGTACACATCAGCCCCAGTACATACAATACAAACCAAAGGAATGAGTTACCTGCACACTATCCCAAATTCCTATATTATATTTAGATAAATGGAGGTTTTCTGTTTCAATCCAATGGTCATTAGAAGTAAGCCCACCTGCCACGTCAAGGCAAACCTCTTAGGGGAGTCCTACACTAACAATCCACCTTGCATCTTGGGGGAGAAGTACTCACTAACACAGATTTATACAGATTTGTCAACAATATTTGAGAGAAATAGACCTTTTGTGTACATAGAAAAAGTCTTAGATCTTTGAGTTCAGCTCATGAAAAATGGGGCAAAAACAAAAGTGTTGCATTTATAATTTTGTTCAGTCTAGATAAATGAATGTTAGGCTATGTGCAATGATCTTCTCCTGTCTTGATACATTTTGTGTGCCTTTCCTCTAGGCTCTAGCATTGGCCATAAAGGAAGCAAAACTGCAGCATCCAGATATGTTGGTCACCAAGGCTGTGGTGTATTGCGAGACAGAGCCTTCCCCTGAGGAGTCTGGAGAAAGTGAACAGGTGAGAGTGACAGGGGCTTAAAAGAACAAATGTATTCCTAACGCTAGAGTGTTATACTATCAATTTAGATTCAGGGCCCCCATCCCCTAAGTATAAAATGTAAAGAAAACAAACAAACAAAAAAAAAACAGTTTTTCTTACAATATTTTCCCCAGCACGCTGGTCTCATCATAGCCACCTCTGCTATATGAGATCAGCAATGCTAAAGGGCAAATGCAATCTAATGCTTCCCCATAGCGACTGGGCACTGGGAATGGCAGCTTCTTTCTCAAATTTTCTTAGAGCGCACCACTAGTGGACACAGAATCTGTGTCTAACATCATATCAAAGCATAAGTACTATAGTTAAACAAAGTAAATGAGCAGAGAAATCCGTGTCACTTGGATCTGTACAGTAGTTGTTACCATGTGAGGTGTTTGGAAAATATTTAAAGGAACACTCTAGGTACCATAACTACTTAATCTTATTGATCCTGACCCTGCTGTCAATGGTATGAGAAATCTGTCACACTGGCAAAATAAGGTTTTAAATAATGATTTGCTGTAAAACCCTTTTATTCAAAGAGCTGGGAGTTACACAGCTGCATGCAGCGCCAATCATCACTAAGTAGGAGCAGACTTTGGAATTCAAAGCGCTCGTTCCCCTCACCATCAGTCCAGGTATACTATTTGACTGACAGGGCTTGGAGGCGGAGTTAGGATCTCCACTTTCAAACCCCATTCTCCCAGTTTGACAAACTTGTCAAACAAATGGTGGCAGGGACAGAGTCCAAGCACCATAACCACTGCAATAAACTGAAGTTGTGCTAGAATGTCCCTATCAAGCACAGGATCTTTAATGCATTCTTAATGTTAACATAGCATATTCCCATCAGACCTATGAGTACTATCAACTTGCAAGAAAGCTGGAAGGTGTCTTACTATTAAATAATAATCATCTCCAAAGTGTGTCCAGATTTGAATTGTAAAAGTTTCTCTTGTAAATAGACACAATACAAGAGCTCCTATCTTGCATTGACTGATAATAAACAAAAAATAAGACATATAATTTGGTCTCTTCATTTAATAAAGACTGTGTTATGCTTTGTCATTACTTTGGTAATATCTGATACTTTCACTCTATGTACGTACAGTTTTTTCTGCCGATTATCCCCTTTTTTTTTTCCATATAGAAATCTTGACCTTGGATTTTGGATGTGAAACCTCCCCTCTGCCTTCCCTGCTGTTCCCCACCTAAAAATAAGGACATACCCTCTCTTTCCTGATCCCAAACCATGCCAGCTGCAAAACCTTCACACCAGGGTGAAACCACGCTGACAGCGCCCCCAGACAGAGAGAGAGACTTGCCACCCTCCCAGGAGCAGAAAATCAAACTCCTCGCAGTACATGGAGCAACAAGACACTTTCTTTACTCCTTCTCCCCATTGCTCCCTCATCTCCTGAGAAGCATGCGTGGCAATGCGTGACTGCATGCGGCATCTACAGGGTTACGTTTATCTGTGAAGTTAGGAAATTTATGCTCTTAGCTAATACAGAGGTCTCTGACCAAACCCCTCAGTGAACGTCAGGGCATTTCAGTAGTGAATGGTCTATTTAAACTATAACGAGATCACGCCTCCATTAGATAGAACCCCATCACTGTGTAAACCTGTGCTTATAAACTGCAGACTGGGGGACATTGTACGTTAGATAGAACCCCAGCACTGTCTGAGCCTGTCCTGATAATCTGCAGTCAGGAGGTCATTCTACTTCACATAGGAATCTGAGAACTGTCTCTTTACTGGTACTTTGCATCCAGGAGATCATTCTATATATAATCTATCCATAGCATTCCATTTCCTCCTCTGCAGCCGTAGCAATATAATATTTTGGTTATGTCAAGAAAATGAAGAAATCTGCATTTTGAAGAGGTGGGTGTGGATTTTCACTTCTACAGATCAATGCGAATCATTAAAAGGCTGATCTTTTTCCTGGGACAGTAGATGTTACTACTCTATTAACCTGTTTGTTGCCAGCTATAGAGCCTGAAGATGCTCTTGCTCCCTGGGGATCGGCTGAGCCACGTGCGTGAAAATTTTAACATGGCACAGGGGGAGGCCTCGCCCAATGCAATGCTGTGCTCTCCCCCAAGTCCCTCCTCCACCCTGTGCTCCGTGATCACTGCTCTATAGCCAATAAAAACAAAGTCAGTGTGTTAATCCTTTCTTTTTTTCTAGTCTTTATTCTTCATTGACTTATCCCAAAATATCATGAGTTGCTTTGAGGAAAGAAAGCAAAGAGCAAAACAGAAACAACTTCTACTTTAATCGGCCTAGACTTTTATTTTAGCACACCTGTTGGTGCAAATCACATCAAGCCTCAAGATTCTTTTTTTTTTTTTTACTTGTCCCTCTGTATGTTCCAGCTGTTGTACATTTATTTTAATATGAAACAATAAAGTTTTGTAGTTTTTACTTTGGTTTTTATGTTTCTTTATTACGTGCTGAAATTTCGTAGAAGCTGCTTTCTGATTTGCTCTTTGCTGTAAGACAGTTATTTTGGTAGACTCCTGTTGTGCTACATTGCAACTCTCTCATCCACAAACATAATACATATACAATACACCAGAAACTACGAACGCTTTGTAGTTATGCTGAAAATTTGAAAACTAATGGGTCCTCTGCTAATGTTAAAAACATACTACAGGCATAAAGAAAACGTTAGCTTATTGAAGCAGTTTTGATGCATAGATCATATCCCTGCAGTCTCACTGCTCAATTCCCTGCCATTTAGGAGTTAAAAATGGATTTTAAACATTAGATCTCTCTTTACAGGAAGAGTAAATTGTTGTTTAAGTCACAGGCAAGAGATGCATAAACAAAATGATTTAACTTCGAACATGGTAGTGTATTGAGCTGTGAGATTGTATGGGGCATACACCAAAACCGATAAATTAAGCTAAAGTTGTTTTGGTGCCTTTACTGTCTCATTAACCTCTTCCTGACGTTATGGCCTGCTAAGTCTTCCTACAAAAGGAGGGCTTTAACGCCATCAGGGTGGCATAGCACGTCCTAACGATCTGGCCCTTCCCCTGCGCTCCGATCGCACTTTAATTCTGTAATTATATATATTAATATAAGATTACTTAGAATTAAATTTTTATATATATACAGTTGCAAGAAAAAGTATGTGAACCCTTTGGAATGATATGGATTTCTGCCTAAATTGGTCATAAAATGTGATCTGAGCATCATTAGCATATGAAGACTGGACATACCCTATTTTGATTAATCTGGGTTGTCTACTTTTGCAAATGGTATGCCCTTATGGGGTAATTCTCATTCCTGGGCTGCCATACGGTCTCAAAGGCAACATTATTTTTACACAAGTTTCAGTGTATAAAAACGGAAATGGGCAAGCCCTATCTGACCCTGTAACTTTCCAAAACACCTGTACATGGAGCTTGTTAAGCCTAATTACTACAAAGCAACAATTTCCACCTCCGTGTTCTAAGTGTTCGTCTGGGTGGCCGCAATTCCTATGGACGACCACGAGGTGACAGCCATCTTGTTTGCATGAACGCAGGCAGCAGTGTTTGGGCATGAATCTCATGGAACTAAAATCGGACACAAAAACTCCCGAACACCGCTGGACTTCCACCATCGCGTTCGGTTTTACACAAGTTACAAGGGCACTGTTCGGTGGAATCATTCGTCTGAACAAGGGGAACAAGCTCCAGGGTAAGACCATTGACTCTGTTCGGTAGTTTGGTCGTTCTTAAACTACCGAACTAGACCGGCCGCTAGCCCTGATTCTACCGAAGTGTTTCGGGCATGGGACCATGTGTGCGGTCGGTCAAACAAATGACTTCCAGGAAATTCTTGAACCCCTGAACTGATCTGGGTGATTTTTGGATATTGTTGGTTACCCAAAACAGGGCAATCAGGGGATGTAACTTTTATGTATTTTGGTGTGTTTTGGAAAAAGTATGTTTTTTCTGTGCTTGGGGATAATTGGATTAGATTAGTACAGTTCCTGATACAATTATCTCCCAGGCACAGAGGGGGAATTATCTGATTTTGTATGGGAGTGTCCTGGACCCGAGAGCCAATGTAATTGTGTGTTTGTTTCTACTATGGTTTACTCTCAGGTCCAGGAGGAGTACCCCTTGCATGGGGACATGCATATAAGGCCAGTTGTGGCTGCCATTAAAGTTTTGGACTCCCAGAACTATGTGTCCTCTGGTTACTGGGAGGGGAAAGGACTATTCTTTAATCACTGTTCCATTGTGGTGGATTCAACAGAGAAAGTCCTTGTAGGACTGAGTGTCGTCCAGTGCCTGGGGGTGTCTAGAGCGAATTCCCCCTCTTGCTCCAGGAGGGAGCGGTTCCAGGACTAGAGCTCCCAGGACTGTCATCCAGTGCCTGGGGGTTGCTAGAGCAAGTTCCCCATTCGGCTTCAGGAGGGAGCAGTTCCAGGGCCCCAGTCAGGTCACGGCGACAGAGGGCAAGAGTGCTGAGGATTGTCCCCTGTTCCAGCTAGGAACCGGTCCTTTGGCGGAGGTACCCAGTCGGGGTACAGGGAGCTCCGTTACAGTTTACTGCAGTAAAATGTAACAGTATTACGACATTCACAGTTAATATTCCATGCAGATGGAAAATACATCTTAATTTATCACACTTTTTTTAGATTTTATTCATATTAAATTATGTTTCATATATAAATATTTCATGTGCAATGAAAGCCCTGCTTCTCCTGAACAAAATTATGTATAATAAGTCTGGGTGCTTTTAATATGAAAGAGGCACATTTTGGTTGAACAGATATGCTGCAAATTCCAGATTTTATTTTGGTTTAGAACTTGGACAATAGCCTCTGTCCTTATGGGGATAACAAAAGCTATTACATTATTGCTTCTAACAATGCATCTTTTTTTCTGTGCCTTATTTATGGCTTTGCTATGGCTAAATATGTTTAGTATGTTGGTTCTCTAACCTTTACTGCTACTCTGAAGTACTTAGTAGTAGTATCGCATCACAGATAAGTCAGACCTGGCAAGCCCAGAAGATACTCTCTCAATGATAACATGAAGACCCTGTTATGGACCAGTAAATGGTAAATGGTCATTGTTGGAAGCACTTTCCAAGAAGAATTCAAGTGATGTTGTTCTGTAGAAAGTCACCAATTTCAGAGAACACTCAGAGGTTTTAAGTGAAATTGTGCTGTTTTATTGATTTCAAAACTGCAATGCTGGTTTTGATTATTGGGCTGCAGCCTCTTCTCAAAAGAAATACCTCATAGCCCTGGAACATCTCCTCACCCACCCCTTATTCTGGAAGTTGAAGGCGTGGTAGAAATGTACAGCTCATATTACATGTACAGGGTGGGCCAAAATTTAGACTAGGGTTTGAGGACTCAATACTGTTTTATTAATGAATCAATATCAAATGATATTACATACAATGAATGCTTAGCGTATGGAGATTTGTTTGACCAGGTACGGAAGATGACATCTTTTAAATGAGCTCCATTTGCCTCCTCGCAAAGTTGGGCTCTTACAAATACATTGTTCATGACATTAGAAACATAGAAACATAGAATGTGACGGCAGATAAGAACCATTCGGCCCATCTAGTCTGCCCAATTTTCTAAATCCTTTCATTTAGTTAATGTTTGAGGCTCTAGCGCTCAAATTTCTTCACAGACATTCTCCTTGAGCTGCTCAAGTGTATGAGGTTTGTTCACATACACCTGCTCCTTCAGATATTCCTCAAATAAAGTGATTGGGAGCTGGAAGGTGAGACGAACATAGCGGACAATTAATCTGGGAATTTCTTGAAATTATACGTTAACTGATCAGTTGCCTCAGGAGGTCCATTGTGGCCTGGCTGTATGGGCAGTAGCTCCATCCTGTTGAAACTACATTTAAGGACTATTTTCGAGGATGTAAAAATTTCTCAATCAAATCCTGACACAAACACTCATAAACACAAACTGACATACAGATGCACACACACTGACAAAAACACTCAGATACACACTGACATACAGATACACAAACACATAGATACACACTGACACAGATACCCACAGTGACACAAACACTCAGATACACACTGACATACAGATACACAGACACACATTGACATACAGATACACACACACTGACACAAACACTGACATAGATATACACACACTGACACAAACACACAGATAAACACAGTGACATACAGATACACACACTGAGAGAAACATATATACACACGCTGACATACAGATACACACACACACAGACACAAACACTTAGATACACTGGCATACAGATACACGCACTGACCCAAACACACAGATACACACACTAACATGCAGATACACACACATACTGACACAAACATTCAGATACACACTGACATACAGATACATACAGACTGACAAACACACAGCTACACATACTGACATACAGATACACACACACTTACACAAACACACAGTGACATACAGATACACACACACAGACACAAACACTCAGATACACTGACATACAGATACACACACACACTGACACAAACACTGACATACAGATGCACACACACTGACACATACAGATACACACACTGACACAAACACACAGTGACATACAGATGCACACACTGACAGAAACACACAGATACACACACAAACATACATATACACACACACACACTGACACAAACACACAGAGACACACACTGACATACATACACAAGTTGACATACAGATACACATACACACACAAGGCCGGTGCCACCATTAGGCGAACTAGGCATTCGCCAAGGGCGCCAGTCTGTTGGGGCGCCCACCGGGATATCTCCTGGTGGGCTCCCCCTGTCTTGGGCTGCAGCGCTGGGCGAGCGGCTCTAGAGCTGTCCCCCCTCAGCACCGGGCCGCTCCTATGTATGGCAGAGCAGGCACCTTCTTACCTTGCTCTGCCATCAAATGCCAGTGACCGGAGGAGAATGCAGGCGGCGAGGGAGGCTCTTCTTGCATCCACTCACTCCTCCCTTGTGCGCCTTCTGTGACATCATTCCGGCCCAAGCATACTAAAAAGTGGGCGGGAGGAGTGAGGAGCTGCTCCACACTTGACACCAGGGAGGTTAGTGTTTGTCAGTGAGTGAGCAATCCTCCTGTGTGTGTGTGTGTATGAGTGTCTGTCAGTGAGTGTATGTCAGTGAGTGTCTGCCTGTGTGTGTGTGTCTGTCAGTGAATTAGTGTGTCTGTCAGTGAGTGTATGTCTGTCTGTCTGTGTGTGTGTCAGTGAGTGAGCATCTGCCTCTGTGTGTGTGTGTGTGTGTGTGTGTCTGTCAGTGAATGAGTGTGTCTGTCAGTGAGTGTGTGTGTCAGTGAGTGAGTGTATGTCTGTCTGTGTGTGTGTGTCAGTGAGTGAATGTCATGGAGGAAGTGACAGGCTGACATCACTTCCTCCCTGCCGGCTGATAGTCCGGCCCCTGCTTAGTATGAGGGAAGGGGGCACAAATCATGTATAATATCCTGGTAGTCAACACACAATCTGATATACATTGTGTGTGATTTCCGGGATATTATACGTGGTCTGCGGGTGTCAGGGAGCTGCATGCAGAATGAGGGAGTGAGACTTGGGATGTCTGTTATGATACACTCATACACAGTGCACATTACTGCGAGTTTTATTACTGCAGTGTTTTGCAATATTAAAGCGGCTCTGTCACTGTCTGGGGCCTTTGCATAAGTGACTGCTCCCCTGGCAGTGTGATGGCCAAGGAGGGCAGGGGATATGACGTTTGACTAAAACGGTCCCTGTGGCCACCGCCATTCTCTTCCTGCAGTTTCTCTTCAGCTCAGTTGCCAGAATCCATGTCAGGACCCTCCACAAACAGAGTCTTTTATTCCCGTCTTGACAAAAGATACCTCCGCCTCTGTGTCACGCTTGTCATTGATAGGAAAAATACTAATCCAAAGCAGTCATATTGTCCTAGTACGGGCATAGGCAACCTGCGGCACTCCCGATGTTTTGGACTACACCTCCCGTGATGCTTTGCCAGCATTATGGGTGTAAGAGCATTATGGGGGATGTAGTCCCCATCATCTGGGGTGCCGACGGTTGCAGTATATATTTTTAAGTGAAATCCAAACACATTTAATGTGGTCATTTCAGAAAGATGTTATGGGGGGATAACATTGCTGCTTTTATAGACACTGCCTTACAGGCAGTTTTAATACTATATAATTCTGTGGGGTCATATTTTTTTTAGGGTTATTTACTAAAGTGTGATTTGCCAACAATTCAAAGTAATTTTCAAATTTAAGCCACAATAGCCAAATACATATGGTACATTTTTCAAGTCCATTTTTCATTTGGTTGTTTTGGCCTAAGATTTTAAATTATTTTATTTATTTTTAATTGATATAGGCTTATTCTGACTTTAAAAAAAAAAAGAGGCATGAAGAGGAATGTAACTAAGAACAAAAAAGAAAGAAAAGAAAAGTGTTTAAACTATAGAGGGCGATATACTAAAAAGTCAATTTCCAGGGGCTGACTCTAGGAACCTTTGTACTGAGAGCTAGTTGCCAGAGGAGGACATTTGTTGTGCACAGGAAGAAGCGTGCTATATTCAATATACTGCATTTTCTGGATAGCTGCAGTGACTGTGATTGAAGGGTGGTATGTATGATAGGTTGGAGTGGGTTTTATTCACATAAACAGCGATTTGTACACTATAATGCAGAGAGTATATTCATTAAACTGCGAATTGGGCAGAGTTGAATGTGGAATGGAAGAAGATAGGCAAAACTAGATGATTTAGAAAAGTTCTCCAACTGAGTTGTATTGAAAAATGGGCTATTTTGGCTAAATTCAGCAATTCTTTTACATTATGGTTGAAATATGAATGGGAAAACAGTCAAATAGTTAAACTGTCATACCAGATCAGCTATTTAGCCTGAATTCTGCCATTTGGATTTCAGTATTATACATTGCTAAGTTTAGTGAATGACTCTGCCTGTTACGAAGTCACTGAATCCACAGCTTGGTGAATAAGCCCCCATTCTGCGCACGTTACAGTAATGTGAGAGTTGCACACATGTTAGAGCAAGGGTTTTAAACTCATTTGTTTTGGAGGGCCACATTGTCTACTGTAATGGGTATGGAGGACC